CTTTCTCTCTGATCCCCAGGCTAATTTTAGCTGCCCTGGAGCAAGCATGCAGCACAGCCTTTGGTTTAGGATTATCTTCACCATGATCCTAAAGGTTTCTACTCCTCTTTCTTCTGTTGGAAGCTCTGTTTCCTGGGTCCTTTCTCTTTTCCTTTTTTTTTTTTTTTTTTTTTCCCCTTGTTTACACCTTCATTTTGCAGGGCACACCCTCCTATAACTTCCTGAGAAAGACACTTGGGAGGAAAATTATCTGCGACCCTGCACACCTAAAATGCCTTTGTTCTGCCTTCGCACTTTGATATAAATGCAGGTTAGATAGGATTTTTTTCCTCGAATTTTGAAAGCATTACTCTATTTTCTTATAGTTCCCAGAAATGATGTTGAAAAGTCAAATGCTATTGAGTGTAGATTTTTCTATATGTATCTTGCTGATTCCTCTTGTGGAAACTTACAATCTTCTCTTTGTTCTTTAAGTTTGTGATATCTTCCTAAAGGCCAGTTTTCATTTATGTGCTGAGTACTTAGTGACCCTTTTAGTTTAGAGCAGGGGTGACAGCTGCGACCAATGCCCTGTTTTGTGGGCCGCACCTGGCCTGCCCATATTTAGGGAGTCCATTGGCACAGTCATTCGATTACATTGCCTGTGGCACCACACAGCCAAGCTGAGCAACTCGACAGAGACAGTGTGTGGTCTGCAGAGCTTAAAATGGCTTGGCCCTGTAGAGAAAACATTTGCTGACCCCTGTCTAGAAAATCAAGAACTTCAATTCTGGTTTAAAAAGCTTTTCCCCTTATTTTTTAAGTTTTCTTCATTTTTCTGAGTTCTGGAACTCTTGCTGTTTAGATGGTGAACCGCCTGGACTGGCACTCACATTTTTCTCTCCTCTTTTCCATCTCTCTTTCGTTTGCTCTCTCGTCTGGGATATGCTTTTAACTTTATCTCCCAACCTCTCTATGAGTGTTTTATGTTTGCTATCATTTTTTATTTTGGCAAAGATTTCTCTATTTTTATATTAACTTTTTTATTATAATATACAGATACCAAAAACCGCAAAATTAATATGTATAGTTAAATTATTATAAAGCAACCACTGTTATGAATACTGCCCAGGCTAAGAAATAGAAAATTTCCAGTAACTCAAAAGCCCCTCTGCGTGCCCCAATCTAATCACTCATGCCCCACTCATGAGACATATGTTACGGATTCCAATCCATGGCAGTATTGTTCTTTTTCAAGCTCTGGGCAGTGAAATGCATCTTCAAGTCACCTACCCTTTTATTATGACCTTTGTAGTCTTTGTTTTTTTCTTTTGCTATCTGGTTTAGCAGGATGTTTAAAACTCCTCTTGTACACTCCCCTAAATCTGGAATCACCCATTTCTCCAAGACACACTGGATTCTTTTAATGTGAAATGAAATTTTTAGCTCCCATTCTGGTTGCTAACAACGTTCATTGCTTTTGAATTGGTCATTGCTTGTAGACCTTTTTGGGAGACAGATCATATATATTGTCTTCCTTTTTTTTTTAAGTATACTTTTACTCTACAAGTTCTGTCCAGAAAGTATCCAGCCATGTACTATGAAAAATAGAAGCATTTATCGAAGATATAAAATACAAGAAACATAGGTACCTTGGGACCTCACACAGTTCTCCCAGTCGCCATTAGCTGCCCCATCATATTTTCCTGCATCTCATCGCCTGCGTGAAATCTCTTTCCCTTTCAAAGGTGATTCTAGTTTTGGGAAAAAGCAAAAGTCACAGGACATCAAATCTGGGCTCTAGGGGAGCTAAGTCACCTGGTGATTTGATGTTTCTCAAAAAAAACTCTGCACAAGACATGATACATGAGCAGACACGTTGTTGTGATGAAGCTGCCAATCATCAGTTGCCCATAGCTGTGGCCTCCTTAATCATCCAAATAGTTTCCAGAGAGAAAAGTTCAAACTTAACACAAAATTTGGCATGGATTCGGTGCTCTAGTCGCTCAATCATTTTGAATGCAACAGCCACACAGTAGACATGCTCACTCAACGGTGTCTACCACCCCCTTTCCCTAGTACAGTGAAGATGTCATTGTTCACACATGCACATTCCAGTCCATTCTCCTTGGCTGCCAGGTTACATCGATGTCGTGCAGACTGTTCTCGTTATATCAACAATGGTTGGACTTTTTCCAGACAGACCTCATATATTGTCAGAATATACAGCATTACATATTATCCTCTCTTCCTTCTAACCTCCATTTGATACTCTACAAGTAACTATGTATTTAATGCTCACTACCAACATATGTATTGTTATTTCTATCATTATTTTGGTTGTCTGAAACTCATTCTTCAAAAGATATCTCAGGATGGGATTATAAGAACAATATACCCTGAGTTCTTGCAGGTTTTTTCAATTTATCTGTTGTATATGACCTTGAAGTCAGTTTTGTTAGTTGTGTAATCCTTGGGTTGCATTTCTTTCTTCGAGTGTCTTAAATATGTTACTGTGTCTTTTTCTAGTAAAAACATTACTGTTGAAAATTCTGATAGCATCTGGTATTTTTTTTCTTGTAAGTCACTTTCTCTTTTTTGCTTATACATCCAAAGTTTTATTTGTCTTTTTTTCTATATAGTCTAAATATTTTCTCTCTGGTGTTACCAACCAGTATGCAGTGTGTTCTTTTAGAATGTAGTTTTAAGCCTCTTTTTAGTTTCGCAATTACAGTATTGGGGATTTGTTCTGTTCCTTTGCTTGGCTTTCTATTAGGGACTCCTATTCTCTGTATGTTATACCTTCTTACCTGTCCTCAGGCCACATTGCCACTTTCAAATTCTTTTTATCTCTTCATTTCTTTTCATCTTACTCCTTTTTAGTTTTTTTCATTCCTGTATTTTACTTAACAGCATTATTTGTTGTTTCTTCACTCTTGTGTATCAGTTTAATCTTCATTTCTGATTTTTAAGATTTCTAATGTTTTAGTGAGTTGTCACCATATTTTTAAGCTCTTCTGATTTTTAATTTATATGGGTCTTTCACATCTTAAATAATTTTTAATGTTTTTAACTTATTTTAAAATCTTGGTATGTTTTGAAGGCATCCTTTCATCATGTATCTGCTATCATATTATTATTTCCAAGAGCTTTTTTTATTTTCTTAAGGCTTCACCTTTTTTAGTGGAATTATCTTCTCATTTCTTAGGTACCCTATCTTATTTATCTCTCTAAGGATAGTAATAATAGTTATATTCTACCTGCCTAATTTATTTTCTCTCATTTCCTTTCCTCTTCCTCCCTGAATTTGTTTTGGTCTATAATTTTAGACACTTCCCTCAAATGTATAATAATCCTTGGTTATTGGCACATGTTTAAGAGTTAGACAGTAACAGCTGATTAGAATGTCTGTGCTTTGAGTAGGTCTTGTTGAATTCTAGACTTTGTCATAATATAATCTTGTTGGGTGATTTCATTGTGAAACCTTTGGTGTCAGTATCTTTTAGTTGAATTTTCCTTGGTGCTGATCAAATTTTTCAGAGAAAGTTTCCCAACCTCCTACCCTGGAGGTTGTAAGCCTAACTGAGTGCTCCGTGGGCTATGTGAGCGCATGCTCGCTGTCCGTATGTAAACCTCTGCTTAAGAAAGCTGCCGTCAGTCATCGATGGCTTCCCCTTGTCCAGACTCTCGATTTTACTCTCTCCAGAGAATAGCCTCTGAGACATGCCTAGGAGAGGAAGGGACAATTGCTGAGCTGTATAGAAGAGATGAGGAGAACTGGAAGGTTCTGTTTCTTAATCCATTTTTTTCAATAAATTCTCTTGTTTTTAGGTCCACCTTCAACTTCACTTCCAGACGTACCCCTTGTTTCCAATTGCCGGGCTTTTTGTGGGTTCTACAGTATAAATTAAGTTACTTGAATTGAACTTTCCTGGGTCTAAGTCAGTTATCATTTGTGTCTTACTTTCTACTTCCCAAAATGCTATCACTATTTTCTCTTCTCTCCTTCTCTTTGTCTTGAGAGGGGGTGTGTGTGGAGCCCTTTACTGTTAGTGGGCAGTGACACCTCAGGGGAGAGAGCTGACGCACCCGTTGAGTTCACCAGGAGTCCCTTCACCTGTATTGTACTAAGAATCTCAGGGAAGTCACTCTTCAAGCCCCTTCTTGATGATGTTCGAGAAATGATAAAATGTTTTTCTAATGACACATTTTTGTTTGCTTGCTTGTTTGAATGGATGCTCCTAATGCTGGTCTGAAAGATCACAAATCATGTTTTACTTTCCTCATTTATGCCAAGCCTCATTTGTTTTTAACCCAGGCCGTATCGATAGTTTTGCAGGCCCATGAGTAAAGTTTATTTCATTTATCCTTTGTGAACAGGGAAGAAAATGTGAGATGTCATATAGAAATACTCTATGTCAATATGGTAAGCCTGAGAACAACCACTAAGGAAATAACTTTTTAAAAAAGTGAAAAATCATGGAAGAAGTTGAGAGGATACATCAGAAAATAGTCAGTTATTATTTTAAAAAATAGTAAATGGAAGAATAGAGGAAGAAAAAGACATGACATATAGGAAACAAAAATTAAATTAGCAGACATAAGCCTTCTGTACCAATAATAACATTAAATGTGAATGGCCTATACAATTCAATCAAATAAAAGATTATCAGACTGGATAAAAAAATAAAAAGATCCAGCTATATGTTGGATAAGCAAAGAATAGGAAAAAAGTAGAGAAAATTAGTGAACCAAAAGTTGGTTCTTTGAAAAGATCAACAAAACTAACAAACCTTTAGTGAGATTGACCAAGAAAAAAATAGAGAGAGAGAGAGAGAGTCACTTAAATGACTAGAACCAGAGATGAAAGTGAGGGCAGGACGACCCACAGAATCAAAACCAATCACAAAGGAATTCTGTGAGCAGTTTTGTGCCAGTAACTTAGACAACTTGGATGGAAGGAACAAATCACCTGAAAGGAGCTCTGCTACATAAAAGAACTAACACTGGTGCATTCACAGGCTGCTGCCGTCGCCTCTCAAGGATGCAGTGGAAGTGTCCACCTGGAGAAGGTGCTACACAATGCAAGAGGTGAACTCCGCCCTCAGTAAAATCCAGCTGGTGGGATACTCTCAGAAAATCGTGAGTGTTGATATGATTTTAAGTGAATGCTTTTGACTCATGTCGTTGTTTTTTGGTAGGATCCCATAGTTCCCTTCCATGAGCCATCTGGTCACTAAGAATCTTGTGCTAGTACATGTTGGAAAGACAGAACAGTGTCTGTCGCCTTCCTCCACCCCAGGTGGTTATTGGCGTTCCTTCCTAATGGTTATGTTCCCCATCACTAGCTAGCATTTGATTGGCCAACATGCAGTAAGTCGAGAGAAAGACATCTCCTCTTCACTTTAGAATAGTGGATGCTATTTTACAGATTTTGGACAAGTGAAATAGGAAACAGAGAGCATAAAAGAGATCAAGAAGCAATTTGGCAAGTAAAACTTGAGCTCTGACCTGACAATGATAAGGTTCCCATTTCTATCAGCTTGTGCCCAGAGCCACTCAATACAGAACAACCGTGAGATTAACACCTAACCTGAAAAGAAGAAGGAAACTGAAGTATTTGTCTCTTTGGTTTATTTGGTAACATATCACCTCTGCCTTTTAACAAGTGAGGCCTGTGTGCTGGGGACACGCGGATGAGCTGGAACTCTCAGAGAGGTGACGGCTAAAAAACTATCAGATCGCTTTCTGTGTCTGCCACACGGTCTCTGCTCTTTCACTTCAAACTTGCTGGTCTCCTTTGGAGTACTTTCTAAGTGAAGAAGGATATTCCTGTTGTTTTCTCCTACGAATGTGCCTGGCACGACAGACTGCATTGCTGGAAGCTCACCCTCACTCTTACTTTGCTTCCTTTCCAGGAGCTTTTCGGCGCGGTCCAGGTGACCCCTCTGAGCTCCGGCTATGCCCTCGGGAGCTCCAACTGGATCATTCAGTCCCATTATGAGAAAGTGTCTTACGTCTCGGGCTCCTCCTTGCTTACCACACATCCGCAGGTAACCCTCAATCCTCATTCAGCAACTCAGCTCTTTGGCTATTTAACCCGAATTCAGAATTTATCCAAAGTACCACCAGCAGTTATTTAATTTTCCTAATTTTTATTTCTGTAGACACTTTTTTAAATTATAGTAAGAACACTTAACATGAGTTCTACCATCTCAATAAATCTTTAACTATATAATGTGTTATTGTTGACTGCAGGTGCAGTGTTATATAGCAGATCTCTGGAGCTTACTCATCTTGCTGAAGTGAAACTTTATATTCTACAGATACTCTTTATCAAAGTTAGATTATTCATGTTCTAACATTTAGAATCTCAGGTTCTCTGTAAGATCCTGCTGCCTCTAGGGTCACCTCTGAGATTCTGAGATTTCCCAACGTTCCTAATAATCATAGGCTGACGTGGGAGAGAGTGGGCACTTGTTGACTCAGCAGACACTGGTTACTTAACATTTACTAATGTTAATGGCCTACTATGTGCCAAGCACTCCTCTAGGTGGTAGAGATTCAGTGATGCCCCACAGGCAAAGTCCTCGCCCAAGGATCGGAGCTCAGTTGTTGGAGAGAGGATGGTGTGCACAAAATAAATGAGCAGAGTAATTTCAGATTGTGATACGTAAATACTGAAAACAGCAAAGTAGGGTTATGTGTAAAGGGACAGAGGCTAGTATAAATTGGCTGGTCAGAGTAAGCTTCTGGGGGAGATCTCACTGGAACTGAGACCTGAAGCAGTGAGTCGGGTAAAGCTGTGAAGGCAAACTCTCAGGGACACCTGGCCGGTGGAGGGCCCTAACGCAGGAACGTGCGCGTGTTCACAGAGCAGGGCAGACCAGAGGGAGTGCAGCATACTCAGTCTGCAAAGGGCTCAGTCAGCAGAGCTGTCCGGGGGCTGAGCAGAGGCTGGGTCGTGTAGCAGTTGGTAGACCATGATGAAAAATTTGGATTTTATTTTAATGTGTAGAGGGAAGCTATTGGGAGATTTTAAGTTGGCCATTCATTAACAGTCATTTTGGCAAGAAGCTATGTACATAAACCTTGTTATCAATGTATTTTTATTCCATTTTAAGTATTCATAAAGAACTTACTATTCATTTTAAAAATCCCGTTTTTTTCCATGTTTGTAAAGGAGGGCGGGGGATACTACTTGATAGCAAGTGGATGGATGGATGCATGGTCGGTAACTTGAGGAAGTCCAGATCCCGTTTTAATGTGGGAAAAGAATGGCTGCTGTAAGTCTGGAACAATAGGATGCTCCTGAGCTGCCGCTCTGCATTGGTTTTTTATTCCTTCTTTTATAATTAAGTTTCATCTCAAGGTCTAGAGGGGACAAGTGTGTACCTTTTTCCTATAGCTAGCAGAATTCTGGGCCTTTCCCGCTTATTGAAATCAAAAGCCCATCAATGTCATCTTAATCAGCTTCATTGAATCATATTTTTTTATTGGCAGCTTCTATCACTCTTGATCTATTCCTCCGTGAAAGACAGAAAGATTACTTGACTGCCAACTCTTCCTCTTTGTCCTGCTCACATCAAAGCCGTTACAGTACCATTGATGTAACTTCCCGTAAATTATTCTTATAAGGTTCATAAATTTAAAGAGAAAATAAGGTTTTGAAAGTAATGAGCAACATACTTAAGTAATTAATTTTAGTTCTTACCTGGCAATCAGTATTGTATGTAAAAAAAGAAAATAAATTAGATTTTCTTTTACCCAGATAATTGGATTCTGTATTGAATTAGCAGGGATAAGAAAAGTTTTAGTTGGAGAAAACTTGATAGCCTGCTTCAGAGGTCAGCAAACTATGGTCCGTGGACCAATTGTGACCCCCCTCACACACACCTATTTTTGTAAATCATGTTTTGTTGGAATATGGCCACACCCGAGTGTCTATGGACTGTTAATGGCTGTTTGCACACCATTGTGGCAGTTATACTTCACACTTTACAGAAAAGGGCCAACCACTCCTCTACTTGAGTGGAACCCTCACTAGCCAGCGACAGTGTAGCAGGCTGCTCTAGGGATCTAATAAGCACAGGGGAATGAGGCTTTGGATTAAACCTGAGGTGGTAAGAATGGAAAGGTAAGTTAAAGAAAACATTGGCAGTTCTTCCATTCAACAAACGTATATTGGATGTTTACTGTCTCTGGGTAAAGAAAAATACAAGTCAAAGATTTCATGTGTGGATGACATTGATAATGGCGCAGTGACACTGATCCGGTTGACAAGGAGGAGTTGGCAGGGGAGTGTTGGTTTTAGAAGGGGTTGCTGGGTGTGAGGAATAGGCGCTTCCGAGAACACTGGACAGAGAGGAAGGCCGAGCTGGAGCGAGGGTGTGAGGGCAAGCCTGCGGCCAAGCCGAGGGCTCCTCAGGTTTAGAGAAGCATATAAACGGGGGGCTGAGGGAGAGACTAGGCTGCAGGGAGCGCTCAGCAACAGACAGTGGAAGGGAGGAAAATAGTCCCAAATACAAATGTTTGGCGAGTTGGCGGAGAATTGAGGCCAAAGAAAGGACAGCATCCCAGATGGAAGAGGTGGAGAACTAGCCTTTACTGAGCACAGGGTCTTAATATTAATTTTTTTAATTGATCTGATATTCAGTAACCATGCTGCATTCTCATATTGTAATATTTACTTATTGATGATAATATCTGCAAAGAAATAACAATTTTATCACTTCTCTTCCAGTCCTTGTATGTTTTACTTCTTTTTCCCATCTCGTAAGTAGGCTCTCCAGTCCCATGTTAAACAGAAGCGATGAGAGTGGTATCCGTGTCTTCTGCCAGATTTTAAAGGAAATGCTTGTGTAGTTTCTTCAATAGCTATTATGCTTACTATACATTCTAATTTATCAGTTTAAGGAGTTTCTCCTCTAATCTTTATCTTCTGAATTTTAAAAATCAAATCTAGATGTTTTACCTTAAAAAATGTTTCTTCTGAGTCTGTGAGATAATCATGTGATTTCTTTCCATTAGACCATTAATGTAGTGAATTATAATGTTAGCTTTTCTCACATTTAACCTTCCTTGCGTTCCTTGGACAAATGTTACGTGATCACAATTTAATCTTTTTCTTTTTTTAAAGAATTTATTTATCTATTATTTTTTAGAGAGAGGGGAAGGGAAGAAGAGGGAGAGAAACATCGATGTGTCAGAGATACATAGATCAGTTGCCTCTCACATACCCCCAAATGGGGACCCGGCCCACAACCCAGGTGTGTGCCCTGACTGGGAATCGAACCAATGACCCTTTGGTTCACAGGCCCGCGCCCAATGCACGGAGCCACACCAGCCAGAGCTATTTGTTTATTTTTAGAGAGACGGGAAGGGAAGGAGAAAAAGAAGGAGAGAAACGTCAATTGGTTGCCCACGGCATGCCCCCAACCAGGGACCTGGCCCACAACCCAGTCATATGTCCTGATTGGGAATCGAACCGATAACCTTTCAACCCACTGAGCCACACCAGTCAGGGCACAACTTATTCTTTCTAAAATGCCCTCCTGGAAACATTTGGTCAGTATTTTTATTGAAGTTTATAATTCATACTCATAAGTGAAAAATGAACCCATGTGTTATTTTCTTGTACTATCTTTGTTTGGAAGCAAGGTACATTAGTCTTATTAAATGATCTGGACTACTTTCCTCTTTTTCTAATGCCATGAATATACAATATAAGGCTTATTTTTTTTTTCTTGAAAGTCAAATCCCCATGAAACTGTCTAAGCCAGTGATTACATTTTAATTTTTTGCATGGCTATTGAACTATATTTTTTTAGTCAAAAATTTGCCAATTTTGGCATAAATTTATTCATCTTGCCAAGGTTTTCAAAACATGAAATTGTTGCAACACATGGAATTTTATACATTACCCTTTCATTTAAACATTTGTGTGTGTAATTATATTTTCATTTTAAATTTTGTTTATTTTTTAAATGTACTTTATTGATTACACTACTACAATTATCCCAGTTTCTTCCTCTGTGCCCCCCTCCACCCGGTACCCCCAGTCCCTTCAGCGTTCTCCCACCGTAGTTCGTGTCCATGGGTCGTGCATATAAGTTCTTTGGCTTCTCCATTTCCTGTACTGTTCTTAACATCTCCCTATTATTTTGTACCTACCAATTTGTGCTTTTTAATCCCTGCACATTTTCCCCCTTCCCCATTCCCCCTCCCAACTGATATCCCTCCAAATGATCTCCATATCTATGATTCTATTCCTTTTCAGCTTGTTTGCTTAGTTATTTGAATTCAGTTATTGATAGCTGTGAATTTATTGCCATTTTAATGTTAACTGTTTTGATCTTTTTCTTTTCTGATTCCTTTTAGCATTTCATATAATAATGGCTTGGTGATGATGAACTCCTTTAGTTTTACCTTGTCTGGGAAGCACTTTATCTGCCCTTCCATTTTAAATGGTAGTTTTGCTGGATAGAGTGATCTGGGTTGTAGGTTGTTGCTTTTCATCACTTTGAATACATCTTGCCAGTCCCTTCTAGCCTGCAAAGTTCCTTTTGAGAAATCAGCTAACAGACTTATGGGTACTCTTTTGTGGGTAACTCTTTGCTTTTCCCTTGCTGCTCTTAAGGTTCTCCATCTTTAACCTTTGGCATTTTAATTATGATGTGTCTCAGTGTGCTCCTCTTTGGGTCCAATCTGTTTGGGACTCTCTGTGCTTCTTGGACTTGTATGTCTATTTCCTTCACCAAATTAGGAAAATTTTCTTTCATTATTTTTTCAAATAAGTTTTCAATTTCTTGCTCTTCCTCTTCTCCTTCTGGCACCCCTATGAGTCAGATGTTGGTACGTTTAAAGATGTCCCAGAGGTTCCCAAGCGTAGCCTTATATTTGTACATTCTTTTTCCCTCTTGCTGTTCTGATGGAATGCTTTTTTCTTCCTTGTGTTCCAAATCATTGATTTGATTCTTGGCTTCATCCCCTCCACTGTTGGTTCCCTGTAGTTTTTATTTATTTCAATTAACGTAACCTTCATTTCTGCCTGGGTTTTTTTTTTTATGCTGTTGAAGTACCCAGTGAGTTCTTGGAGCATCTGATCACACCAGTGTTTTGAACTCTGCATCTGCTAGATTGCTTATCTCCATTTCACTTAGTTCTTTTTCTGGAGTTTTGTTCTCTTCTTTCATTTGAGCCATATTTCTTTGTCTCCTCATTTTGGCAGCTTCCCTGTGTTTGTTTTTATGTATTAGGTACATGAGAATCATAGGACAACTTTTGTTGTGTTTATTTTGGGCATTTAATTTTCAAAGGAAGGCAGTGCTGATGGCTGAGTTTCAGAGGTAATGCTTTCAGGGCCAGAATTTGTTCTCCATTATATGTTTTCATTTAGATAAGTAGTTCTTAACTTTTGGGGATCATGGCCCATAAGACAGTCCAACTAAATCTATAGAAAAATGTGCGCAGGCACACACAGAGTTGTGTGTTCCATTTCAGGGCGTTCCTGGGCCCTCTGAATTCCCCCATCTCCCATTAGCCCTGGGAATCAGTATTGGCTTGTTCTAATAAAATGCATATAAAGCTATTACCATTTTAAGCAGAAAATGGTACCCAATGAAACTTGGTCCCTTTTGTCACCATTCCTGTTTCCTTATGTTTGATGCATGACACAGTTAACATTCCCAGTCTCATTACATGTGTGCTGCTGTAAACCACTGCACTTCACTGCCCTGTCCTTCCTTCTGTGGAAACCATGAATGTGTATGTATTTGTTGGAGAAGCATAGATACATAGATCAATTCTGCCCAAGCACCAGAAAAGCATTTATACACATTGGCACACACCTGCAAATAGGAACTAGAAGGTATTCAGTATAACTGTAGCCATACCTTTTCTGTATTCTCATTAAAGAAATGCTTTTCAGGTTATAATGCAGCTTATATAACAAGTCATGTTATTTTAAAAAAAATAGTGAAGCCCGTATACACATGCTTATGTAAAATGCTAAAAGAAAATACATAAAAAGGAACGCATACTCAGAGATAACAATGCAGATGGTGGATTTTTGCTGTGCTGCCATTTGGAATTGTATTTCTTTATGGGAAATCTGGGTGGAACAGAGAAAGGAGGGATGAGACCTCTTTGTAAACTGTGTTTCTGGCTTTTTTTCTTCTAACGTTCCAATGAGATATTAAATGACATTGAGGAAAAGATGTGTTTGTTACAAAATGAAAATATGAGTTCTCCAGCATCTTGATCATGGGCCTTCAATTTTGTTTCCAGTTTGAATTTTGATTTACTTAGGAAAAAAAAATCAGAAATTCAAAGTGTGCAGGTAAAAATAAAAATCCCACCTACTGAGGATCACACTACACTGTGTCATAGAATTTCCCAGTTCTCAAGAATGTCATGCATATTAGCTCATGAGACTCTTAGAGGTCAGTTGACGGAAATGGGTCAAGAAATATGCCCGTTTTGCAAGAAACTCAGCTCAGAGCCTTGGCTGAGCTCACGTGGCTACTAGTGGACTTGGAAGGAAGCTTTATGTTTCTAACTCCTAACCCGGTGCTCTTCCTGCTTCCTCTGCCACGGAGACTTACAGAAAGTGGCCTCAGCTCCTTGAGTCCCAACTTCCGCATTTTCATAGCAAACACTGATGTCATACTCGCAGAGTTGATCTGAGAATCACAGGACCCTGCACAGTCGTCTGCGAGGCATGGCCCCACACCGGCACCAGGGGCCGCCCCTGGGAGCTTCTCAGAAATGCACATCCTCTGTCCCACGTTCAGCAAACTCTCCAGGTGGTTCTCATGAGCTCTCAAGTTTGAGAACGGCCAATGATACATGTGAGGTATTTTGAAAAGAACAAAAGCCTTATGGAACGCTGCTTTTTTTTTTTTTTCATGAAGCAAAGTTTGTATATAGTGAAACCATAAGACTCTCAATGTACAACTCCGTGAATTTTGATACCATGTGCTCACCGCCCCAGTGGTGACGCTTTTCATCACCCCAGGAGGACTTGATGATGAGCTGCACATGGAAAGAGCAATGTCAGTATTTTCTTTTTCCTGTACTATTTGTGAACATCTATTTTTAAATTACTAAACACAGTTCTCTGGTTTTTCAGCCCATGGACCAAGCATCTCTCAAAAACAGCGACGTTCTCGTGCTGACGGGCCTCACCCAAATTCCGACAGCAAACCCGGACGGCATGGTGGGAGAGTTCTTCAGCAACCTGGGTATGTGGGCCACTCCTGTCTTAGCTTGGGTGTCTTTTAAGCGTGTTTTTCTGTACCTTGTTTCTATAGTACTTTTGCCCCTTCCCTTCTTATTCACACGCTCTGATGTCCCTTTGAGGGCCGTTTCCCCATTTATTCCCACCCATTTTTGCTTCTTCAAAACCTGTAGTCAGAAAAAGCAATTCTTAAGCAACTTAAACCTGAAGGTGCCGTAATAATAGTTCTTATGATGATAAATGCAGATGTTTAGCATGTTATACAACAGATACTCAACATTCTCTCACTTCTTTATATAGAAAATTCTTGTTCAGTCTTCTCGCTTTGGGGTGGTGGGATTTGGTGACGGACGGAGCTCAGGGGTTACGGGTGACAGTAGTCAAAACGGGAAGAATCACATCTTTGCTTTGCAAATAATAGCACAAAAAAGACTGAACAGGTCTTCAAATCATGTCATTTGGTTCAACATTGTTTCAGTATACGTTGTTGAGATGCCTGCCATAGAAACTTACCATACTGTATTTTGCCATATATAATGCGCACTTTTTTCTACCCAAATTTTTTAGGAAAAAATAAGGATGCACCTTATACATGGGTATAACATACCATGGGTATAATAATGGATATAATAGTCCCATGTATCGTGCACATAAAAGGTGGGTGCACATTATACACATGAGCACATTACACATGGCAAAATACCGTAAGTCTTGTTTCTGTTGATTAGCCTGTGATAAAACTGGTATCAGCAACCTTAAGTGAGGGCCTAACTGTTTATGTACTTTGAATTCACAACAGCAGTACCACTGAACAAGTGTATTTTTCCCCTGATACTTGGTTGGTGTTTTATTTTTCTTCTTTTGGGTGAAAACTAAATTGAGAGACTTGGGGCATTTGCTACCTAGAAGAAGTTTATTTTTCTTTGAACATAATCATCAATCAAATCTAGAAGACCTGCTTTTCTTTTAAAAAAGTGTAGGTTGATTAACATCTTAGTCAGCTCAGGCTGCTATAACAAAATACCATAGACTTAAACAACATTCATTCATTTCTCACAGTCCGGAAGCTGGGAGGGCCAGGAGTGGGGTGCTGCCACTGTCGGCAGGGTGAGGGCCCTCCTCCACGCTGGCAGGCGGCCACCTTCCTGCTGTGTCCTCATACCGCAGAGAGGAGCAGCTCTGGCTTCTCTTCCTCTTCTTACAGGGACACTAATCCCATCACGGGGGCTCCACCGTCTTCTAGACCTCGTGACCTCCTGAAGCCCCTCCCCCGCCCACGCCCTCAGTACCATCACGGAGGGGCTCCACTGCTCCAATTGCGGGGGACGCAAACATTCAGTCCCTAACAGTTAGCACAGAGGAGCTGGTGGGCTCAGGCCCTTCACCGGTGGCAGCCGTAGGTGACATCACCTCTGCTCTGGGGGAAAGAAATGGTCACTTTCTCTTGTGAAAGGCATTGTCCTTTCAGACCTCCCTTGGCCGTGCCAGGAGCATTGTCTGTTTTTGTCCTTTGCTCATACTAAGTCAGAGGGATTTATTCTTACTTGGAAAATGTATTGGACTAGTCTCAAATAGAATCTCCGGTTTGTGTGTTTGTTTATAATCTAGAATCATAAACACAAAGAACTTTTGGTCTACAGGACACCTTCCTTCTAATTCACTGTTTCTCAGAGTCAGGTCCAGTAACCACTTGCTTCAAGGAAGACACTATAGGGGTCCTACCACAGACCTAGTAAGTCAGGCTCTGGGGATTGGAGAGACCCAGAAAAAATGCTGAAATTTCAACATGTTCCCTGGGTATTTCCATGCAAACTGAAGCTTGAAAACCACTGACCAGTTCACTCCCTTACATAACCAGGGAGGAAGCTGACCTGAGGCCTGGAGCTCATGGCAAAGGCGGGAGGAGGGCCATCCCTCCGGAGCCCCGCCCACCGGTTTTGGCTTTTCCCACAGCACGGAACTCCAGTGTAGCCGGTCAGCCAGCACTCAGGGTCCTGCTGCTTGTTTCCGTTTCTTTTGAAAACCAGCAAAAAACAAACTTGCCAGGACAGTTAGAATTTTTTTTTAAGCTAGTTATAACTTCTAATATGATTATACCCATAACTTGTAGTTCCTCATTTGATAAAACTGTTTAAAGTAGGGAAATTATCTTACAAACAGTCCTGAAAGAAAATGCCACTAAAATGAGTCAAATGGAAAAAGTTGGCCTATTTTGTTGTAGGTCCTGCAGCAATGGGCAGGGACTGAACAGAGACAAATCCAGCAAAGTTTTGAGCAGGAGCTAAAAAGAGGAGCTTGGAGGGTCTTTTGTCCTGAAGCACGGCTGCCATGGGTAACCTTTAAAACCCAAACCCTTCGTTGCACGTCCTGTTTGCAGGGACCGAGACGTTGGTTAAAATATCAGCTGCTTGTCTGCCTCTGGGCTCTCCCAGTCCGGAGCTACTCTTCGGAGGAAGCAGGTTATTACAGATGTGCAGTGAATGGTACTGACAGAAGTAGGAAAAATGGAAGAAACCTAAATACTACTTTTAGAAAGTTCCATCATGGAAAAAAGTACAGTAAGAAAATAAACTATTAAAAAATAAAATAGACATTTCATTCTATTTCTATAAAACTGTTCTTTTGATGCTGTTGTTTTCCTTCTGGTGTCAACTCTTCTAGCGCTGACAGTCCGGAACGGAGGGAACGTGCTGGTTCCCTGCTACCCCTCTGGGGTGATCTATGACCTCCTGGAGTGCCTGTATCAGTACATCGACTCGGCGGGCCTCTCCAACATCCCCTTCTACTTCATCTCCCCTGTGGCAAACAGTTCACTTGAGTTTTCCCAGATTTTTGCTGAATGGTATGTCCACGTTCTTCGCTCTGAGTTCTATTTTGATTCATGGCACTCAAGCAGTAAGAACAGAAACGATCCTGTTTTTTCCTCACATTGCTATGAAACTCTCTTCTTCTTTTTTGTTGAATTTATTGGAATGATATTGGTTAATAAAATTATATAGGTTTCAGGTATACGATTCTATAAAACATCATCTGTATATTGTATTGTGTTCACCACCCAGAGTCTACTGCGAAACTTTCATTTTGTGGTTTTTCCGTATCTGTAACGTGAAGGTTATGTTAACAGGCAAATCTGTTATATTGCTGAAGTTCAGAATAGTTATCAAAGGAGGAAGGATGAAAGATAAAGACTTAACATGGCACTTTCTAAATTAGTAACAAAAATGTTATATTTTTATCTTCTCACATGCTATATCTTCTGCCTCTTAAAAGTAAAATTGCATTCTAAAAGAGAAACAGATTTTAAAGCCCAAGCCCATGTTATCTAAATTTATAGTACCAAACCAGAAAGAAAAAACTATGTTTTTCATTTAATAGCATGCTGTTTGACAAAATTAAGTTTTACTACAGCAGGAAATTGCTTGATCAAATCTGGGGTGGTGAAATTACTGAACAGTCTGAAGTCAGTGAACCTTTCTGGGATTATTTAGATGCCTATTGGAATCTCAGTGTCGGGCCAGAAGGAGGGAGGGGTGGAGGAAATGGACTCGCTGCGACAGGAGACCCAGTCGCGCCTTAGGACAGTGTCCCCAAACACTCGGGGGTGTGAGAACACACGTACTTTGGGTGTGTTTAACCCCTTTTAGTGGTGTGGTGGCCTAATGCACACATTATCCTACTGAGTTTCTCATTAAAGGGGGCGTGTACACCATTCGGTCTGCCCCCTCATCCACTTTCTTAAGGACATTTTCCTTCCCCTTTTAGTTGTGGTCAAGTCTTTTTTTCTGTATTTATAGATCTGTCCCATGTGCCTATTGCTCATGGTTGTCAGTAGGTCCATAAAACACACACTGCTAAAACACTCGCGGCGTCCCCAGTTTGAGACACGTAGTTGCTCTCCAGTTTGAGTTACCAGCGGGGCTTGGCGGGTGAGAGAAACAGAGTTATGGCTCTGAAAAGGCTCATCACTCTGTCCTCACTGTTGAGCTCAACTAATGCAGTGTGGTGTCCTGGATGGAATCCTGGAGCCCAAAAAAGGACATCAGTGGAAAAATTGGTGAAATCCTGGGAAAGTCTGAAATTTAGTTAATGATAATGTACTAATGTTAATTTTTAGTTTAACTAATGTATCATGGTTATTAACATCAGGGGACACGGGCGAACGGTACATAGGAACTCTGTACTGTTTTCTCAACTTCCTTGTAAACCTAGTATTATTCCAAAATAACCAGGTTACTTCTTAAGAAAAAAAAAAATGTATTGAGGAATTTTAAGAAAATTTTAAGGAATTTTAAAATTTTGAGGAATTTTTTTTTTAATGCTCACAAGAGATTTCTGTCCTGAGGGCTCTGTAGACACTGGGTTTTATTAACAGAGATTTAGTGGCAGAAAATTTTTTAAACTTCAGTACTTATTATTTGTGCTGCTACCACTAGGTGGCAGAAAGTGACCCCGTGTGCCCTACCTGACCTGCTTCTGTTTTTCCTCTTTAAGGCTCTGTCACAACAAACAGACTAAGGTGTATCTCCCAGAACCACCTTTTCCTCATGCAGAGGTAAGAAAATGGCCTAAAGGGATCAGAACAAGAAGGAAATGTAGATTAATGGGTGTGGATGGAGAGAGCAGGCCATTAGATTTTTTAAAAACCCTTGCAGAGGCTCCCAAAGCCCCTCGTTTCCTGTGAGAGGACAGTGAAGGCTCCGACTCCAGGATCCTCACCAGCCACCTCCACAGCAGGGGGCCGGCGCACGCAGCCTGGCGGCCCTCCTCTGTTCTGTTGGCGGTTGAGGAATTCTAGTCTATCATCTACCAACTGTTTTGCCTGACAGATTTTTTACTGTAAAGTCTTCTTTCCAGTTAGTTATGTTAATCATAGATGTAAAGTTTCAGTGACGAAAATAATAGCTTTTCAGTTTAAAACAACAGGAGGGGTCAAAAGGTACAAACCTCCAGTTACAAAAAAAATGAATCATGCAGACGCTGTGCACAGCATGACGACTGTAGTTAACAGTGCTGTGCTGCGTGTTCGGATGTCGCCGAGGGTGTAGGTCTCAAAGCTCTTGTCACAGGGAAGAAAATTGTTTTAACTATATGGTGACAGATATCAACTAGACTTATTATAGTAATAATTTTGTAATATATACAAGTGCCAAGACATGATGTTGTACACCAGAAACTAATGTTATAGGCGAGTTATACCTCAATTTAAGAAAGAAAACTCCCCCCCACCCCTCACAGAACTGATGACTCCTTCACCCCTCACCAAACATTGTATCATGGGCATTTTTCTGTGTGCCTTATAGCATGGTTCTTGCCGTCTAATATTCCATAGCACATCATAGGAACACACTATTGTGTACTTAACCATTTTCTTACTCTCAGACAATGGAGTTACTCCCAGTTTTTCATTTTATATGTTTTATATTTATATGAATTATAAAATATATTTTTAAAGATGCTTAAATTTGTGTATAAGCACTTTAAAAAACTGACAGTATCTGCTGACGCATGAGGTAGTCCTGCTGTTGAGTGTAGTAAGCCAGCTGGACAGCTAGGTCTGAGCGACAAAAAAAGAGATGAATTGACCTTAGTTTCCATGCGTTTACCAGGAGAAACGCAGGAACTGTGGGTGACACCTGAAAAGTGACATAAGTTACATGCACAGACCCACTGCTATTCCAGAGGCCCATTCGTCTCCTCAGGGGCTGTGGGTACAGCGGACTTGATAGCCTGCCAGCAGCCACTCGCCCGGTCTCTAGGGCCAGGCATGACTCCGGCCAGCTGGTTTGGTTTGTGTGGAACTTGGAAGGAAAGTGGGGGTTCAGTGCTTGCCCTCTGCTGTGCACATTCCCCCGCCAACCCGGGGACAGGGCACCCGATGGCAATCTCCAGGCTAGTCCTGCCATCTTGCAAATAAAAGTAGGTCTCTCTGAATTAAAGACTTACTCTCTAAAGTGAAGAGAGTTTGGCTTCCATTTGGGGACTGCCCCACTCTGGCCACATTCTCACTATTGGGGTGACTTCAGTTGGTCTTGGAGCTGTTGATGGGGCTCCCCCTTCTGCATTCAGAGCTGCTTCAGGATTAAGCTGGGTCGCGGTCATGTCATTATCCATTAAAGACATCTCTGGACACCGTTCCCTGTGGCTTAGTTGATATTTAAAGTCTCTGATGTCTGAGTTTTTGTCGCCTGACCTTTTGATACTGGAGTGGGGAGGTGGGGCCAGGCCAAGGCAGCAGGCAGGAGGTCTGAGCAGGGTCCTGAGCTGCCAGCTCTGGCTGTGACTGTCCATGGTGGCGCTGGGTCAGGCCTGACGTTGGGAGGGTGTTAATAAATATTGGGCTGGAAGGAAGACATTTTGGTTCAAGAAACTTTTTTTTTAATCTTCACTGGGGCGGGGCGGGGGGGGGTATTGATTTTTAGAGAGAGGAAAAAAAACATCCGGATGATAGAGAAACATCTATTGGTTGCCTCTTAACGTGCCCTGACCAGGGATCGAACCCACAATCTTTTTGATGGTTGGGACGATGTTCCAACCAACTGAGCCACCCAGCCAGCACCGAAACAAACTTTTGAGACAGGTTGGAGCCTGTGCACGGTCTTCTTCTTGCTGTGGCTCTCTGTGTCATGAGGATGTCACTTCTCCCAGATTTCTGAAAGCCAGTTCAGTCCTTGTCTATATTAAGGTGCCACAGTAACTTACAGCTGTAACTTCTTGAGGAGGTCCTGTGCTGGTAAATAGTTTCTCTTGTGTGGGTGTTTATTGGTGACAGAACTTAGTGGTTCACGTGTTTAGGGAAGGTTACTTGTACTTCAAACAGTAACTGATGTTGAAAACTCCTGGGCTGGGGCTCAGAGAGTCCAGAAGCCATAAAGGAAGACTAAGACAGTATCACCCATGACAACCTGACAGGTTTCCTTTGAGCATGTTAATAGTCTTACAAGGTCCCATCTATTGAGAGGCTACATACAGGTAAAAAACTTCAATCTTTGGCAAATCACAGTAAGATTTGTTTGTATTTTTAATTTACGTCTGGTCACGCTCCCATGTTGTGAATCTTTTCTTCCTCTGAGACGGGCTAACGTTTCTTCATGTTCTGTTTTCTATATCTGTTCTAGCTCATTCAGACCAACAAACTGAAGCACTACCCCAGCATCCACGGTGACTTCAGCAACGACTTCAGACAGCCATGCGTGGTCTTCACTGGGCACCCCTCCCTGCGGTTTGGGGACGTGGTCCATTTCATGGAGCTCTGGGGAAAGTCTAGTCTCAACACTGTTATATTCACAGGTAAATCAAGCCCCTGCCCTTCTCAACTGGGACCATCACTGATGTGCCTACCAGGTGGAGACCTAGGTGCCATTTTTGAAATCAGGCATCAGTATGAACAGTCTTTTTTCATAAATACTGAAGGATAACAAAACCACAGGGAGAGAGATAAAGCAAAATGTCTTGTTAAGTAACTGTACTAGGCAAAACGTTTGCCTCTGTTTTTGGAGGTTCTTCCCTGAGATGGAGCTCACTGAGCCGCTCTGGGCGGGGCTCTGGAAGCTCCCTCGAGAGCCGCAGACCCCCTAGTCACCAGCCTCGTTTTACATTTTTGGAGTCATTTCCTGAACTGGATCTTTCTCCTTTGGTTAAAGTTCACTCTGGCTTACAGGTTTTTTTCCTGGAGAATGAACCCCTCAGAGTAAAATAAATCCTTTTTGGAGATCAAGTAAGGGTTTTAGTCCGTCGCTGTATTATTTGATCAACTTCACGTCTTCAGATAGCTTTGGGATCTGAACATCTCACAGGATATGCAGGAAAAAACCCTGCTCTGAAGTCTGGCCCAACTTCCTGTAACTCAGCCAAGTGACCTTGGCCCCCTAAGCCTCACTTTTCCCCCTGGAACCCAGGGTGATTGGCGGCTCGCTCCTGGGCGGCTCTGTGCACAGTGTCACTGAGAGAAAGCACTTCACACCGTGCCTGCACGGGAAGCCTTGGACAGCTGCCGGCCTAGAGTTCTCTAACTGCTGTTGAGATTTCAGTAATGGCGCAGTCTAGCTGTGCCCACAGCTTCAGGGTCAGGGACACTTTGGGTCCTCCCCATGCTCAGCCTGTTTGTGAGAAATAACTGTCCCCAGCCAGAGACCACTGGGAAGCATGAGGCATCTTGAAGCATTTTTAAAAGAAATTCATGTGGATGTGGGCTTGTGTTGGTGATTCTGAGGTAGGTTCCCGGACACGGGACATCGCTCTGGGCTGGGTGCTGGCGGAAGCAGGCGCTGCTCTGTGGCTGGGTCTCTGGTGACTCGTAGCCAGGCGGCAAGAGGACTGCAGCCGGGCGAGGATGACGTTGGCACGTCCTGTGGTTTGGAGTGTTGTTGTTTGGTGTTGAGGTATGATCATGCTCTTGCTTTTGTTTTAGCCCATTGTGGTCACCAAGTAGCCTTTTCTGGTGTCCGTGTTTGTGAACTTGTTTGTGTCCAACACCATGGCCGGCCGTGAGTGCCAGGCCACTGCTGCTAACACCAAGGCCTTGCAGAAAGTGCCAGAGCTCAGAAAAGCAGCTCTCAGGGCCTGCTTTTCTTCCTTCCTGGGCCTCTTTTGGCCAAAGGCAGCAGCAGTCAGCCACAGAATACATTCATGACACCCAGAACCTCACCGTTGTCCAGTCGGCCGAGCAGGAGGTCGCCGACGGAACGTCACCTAGGGTAGGACTGAGGGCGGCCTCGCTTGTTCTTTGTGAGGAGACGTGGACTCTGATGCGACAGTGGGTGTGGGATTCACGTAGGCACAGCAGGAAGAGGTCGCTCCGGAAGGGATTTTTCTTTAGCCAGCTACATGAAATCAAGGACTATGCGATTGTCCGTAACAGCCCTGGGTAATGAAGTTAAATTTAAACTAGTTTGTTGGGCGTCCAGAGCAGATCTCGTGCCATTCGTGATGTCTGCCAGTGTCAGACTCTCGGGCCAGTTCTGCCCCATGTGTTATGATGGTGGCGGGAAGGGCGGCTCACGCAGCGCATGGGGAAAGGGGGTCAGTTATCCGCCCCGGGAGGCCCGTGCTGGCCTCGTGGGGGCGGCCCTGGGTACTCGTCTTGAGGAAGCAGGATCCACTGGAGGGCGTTCGTCTAAAGTCCGGCAGCCACCCTGAGCACGCTGGCGTGGCGGGTGGGAGCAAGCCTGCAGGCTGTGTTTGGAAGGAAGAATCCTTTTTCATACTGGGAATGAGCCAGTTCTGTGGCTCAGGGTGGGCAGCTTCCTCGAGTGGAGTGAACAGTCCCTGCCCAGCAGACAGCGTGAGTGGCTCTTACGAGAGCAAACTAGCTGTTAAGACAAGGATGGGTTCTGTCGTGATGCACTGGCTTCGCTGACAGGAGTACAAAAGTCTCAGCAGAAGCACGTTGCTGACATGGGTCGAGGTCCTTCTCAGTTTCTTCCCGGGGCCTGCAGGTGGCATGCGAGGTGTCTCACGCCCGGGTGTGAGCTTGGAGCACTTGATCTGAGTGGTCCGTGCCAGGCTGCTTTACTCTGAAATCACTGTTTTGAATTTTGTCAATTGTATGGGGCACTTTAAGTCTATGTATATATCTTGGTCTTCTCCAAATTCCCATCTAATTTTTTTTAGCATCTATTGATGATTCTGAACTAAATAAGGTATTGTTGTGATGGTTGCCTAACAGTGAGTTTTTTTAATTGCATAGTTTCTTTTATAGTTGTTAGTTGCCATTTTGTTGCAAAGATGATCTTTCCCTTCTCGCTTTTTCACCCCTCATTTGTTTCGTGTTTCCCTCCCTTTATGTCAGAACCCTTGAGTGCACGCCCCGCAGTTCCACCTCCGTCCTGCAGCCTTCACGGCTGCTCTCCGGTCCCTGCTCAGAAATGGCTCCTCTCTGGCCCTGAGGAACCCACCCCGTCACCCTCCCAACCACGCCCGCTGCGTCCTCTGTTGCCCGCATCTTAACTTGCCTTCTTCCTGCTCCCCTAGAACCTGACTTCTCATACCTGGAAGCGCTGGCCCCCTACCAGCCCTTGGCCATGAAATGCATTTACTGTCCCATTGATACACGGCTGAATTTCATCCAAGTGTCAAAGCTGCTCAAAGAAGTGCAGGTAACCAAGGAAACGGTGCTAGTGCCCCTCTCCGCCCCCCCCAACCCCGCCACCGCTGTCGCCTGTGTTCCCCTGGCCTCCATAGGGTGCGCCTGTGGTGAGGGGCAGGGTGTCTCGCTGCACTTCCTGTCCTCCTCACCTCAACGTCTGAAGGGCACTGAGACATGCGCTAGGTACCCTTCTAACTTCCAAGTACTGAGCTTTACATCCTGAAAGGAGTTTCCATTCTAAAGAAATCAAAATTAGAAGGGAGCATAAACAGCTGTTATCCTTGATGAGGACCATCTGTGTCCAGTTACAAGCCAATTGCCCTCCCACCCCCACCCCCCACAAAAAGTCCTCCTCACGGAGCCGAAAGACAACTTAACTGAAACACGTACTGGGCCCTTGTTGCCCATTTGGGTAGTTACCACAGTGTCATTTGCTTTTTGTTACAAATTTAGTTTTGTTTTTATTCTTGTTTTTGTTTGGGGGTTTATTCCTTTTGCATTTTCTGCCCAGAAGAGAGGAAGGAGTAGTTGGGGTAATGTAGTAGGTAAATGGAAGAAACCTGTACAGAAGGAGAATGTAGAGCAAGAGCAGGGAATAAAAAATCACTGCCCTGGGTCAGCTGCCAGTTGGGGGTGATGTGTTTCAGTGGTTGAGGGTCGGGCAGGCTGATCAGAATTGTCGAGAAAAGCGCCTTATCTGTGTAACGGCCAGAGGAAGACTCCTGGTTTCCCGTCACCTGGGTGTTTCAGGACCTTAAGGGAGGGCCACAGCGCCCTGGCACTGCCCTCGACCCTTCGGCGAGTAGTTTCACGAGGCTCGATTAGCCCCTTGGTGTCCTGGCCTTGGTCAGAAGCTCGCTTTCCTCCTCTTTACGGAATCTTGGACCTCAGGGTGAGAAGCGCCAACAGGAAGGGTCACAGGAAACAGAAAGCTGCAGACCCTCAGGAATGCATGGCACTGGACTGTGGCGCTCGCTGGCTTGCTGGCCCTGCAAGGAGAGAATGTGGACTTTCTCTCGATGCGATGAGAGCAGTGAGCCAGCGTTTGGCCTGCGAGGAGCGATTTGATCGCCCACTGTGTACTCCGCATGCTGGGAGAGACAGTTCAGAGCCTGTTGTTTTCATTGCCGGGTGACTTCACACCGCAGTCCTCAGGCCAGCAGGGTGCTCGGCCAGCCCCGTGGCTGCGCTGACATTGGGCGCAGGAGGCCACCTGGTGTCCAGGGTGAGAGAGGAAACCCAGGGAAAGTCCTCAGGCTGAAATTGGAGTCAGCTGGCTTTCGGGCAGTTATGAGATGCTGACCAGGTCGGGAAGGAAGAAAGGAGCATTGGCCCTAAGGAATAAGCACTCTTTTCAGTGTAGCCAGTTTGGCATATTGGAAACATTATTCTTCCAGGAACTTGAGGCTTGGTCTGAATTCTTAAGTAAAAGCAGTGACAGTAGAAGGACTCTGTCAGCTGCCAGGATCAGTTTTCAGTTGGGTGATATTTGTCCAAAGTAAACACTGCTTTACAAAAGAGATTTTGTAGAAAAAAGAGTTCTATCTGACTCAGTCTGTCTTGCACAGCTAAGTGTGTGACCTGGCCGCCGGCCACTGTCCTGCAGACACCAGAGCAAATGACAGCCCCGGAACGCCAGCCTCTCGCGGACAGCTGCAGTCGGGCTTCCCGGTGGTAGGACACGACCGTGCCCTCACGGGGCTTAGAGGCCCCTGGAGGGTGGTCACCATCCAAGCGGCTTAAATATAGTGAAAAAATAAAAAACGTAAACGGAAGCCCCAGATTCCTCGCTTGTCAACGTGGCTGGCAGTTCAGGGACTTGCCGTAAAACTCCTATTCTTTCCCCCGCTGCGCCCATCTCTCCTCTCACTGGTCACTTGGGTTTGAGAGGAAAATTCAAAATGGCCTGGACGTGCTGAGCCCGGGCATCCAAGAAGGCAGGACTAGGGAAGGAAGGGGCCTTCCCAGTGAGCTGCCCTGCCTCATGCCTCCTCGTTTCCTCCTCCCTCCCCGTCCCACCCGTCCCACAGCCCCTGCACGTGGTCTGTCCTGAGCAGTACACGCAGCCACCCCCTGCGCAGCCCCACAGGATGGACCTGATGATCGACTGCCAGCCGCCGCCCATGTCCTACCGGCGGGCGGAGGTCCTCGCCCTGCCCTTCAAGCGGCGGTATGAGAAGATCGAAATCATGCCCGAGGTGAGCCGGTCTCTTTCTCAAGGTTAAACTCAGGTTATTGCATCAGTCTCTGGAAGAAGCCTGTAACTTTCCTCTGGGTTGGTGTCAGATGTGGATGAACCAGACTCCCTTAGGCCCATAAGCAAGCAGGCGGGAAGAGAGGTGGGCTTTCCGTTTTGTCATTCTCCTTTTCCAAGTAATGAGGCGGCAGCTGGTAACAGCGGGACTGCCGGCCTGCTGCTCTGCTTAACGTTCTGCATGCAATCCAGGGGGCCAGCAACCAGGCCAGGGCCTCGGAGACCACAGGTGCTGGTGCCTCAACCACCTTAAGGCGGTGGGGTTTTCTCCTGTTTCCTGGACTTGACATATGAGTGAGGGTCAAGTTTCACCAAATTCAGGGATAAATGGAGGAGATAAGCATGACCAAAAAATAAGGAATAAAAAACTTATTACTTATATGCATTCTAGTGTCACATAAAGATTTTGATCCATTGATGGGCTCTACTGAAGTCTAAGTATTTTAGCTACATGGCGTCTGAGCCTGCTGTAACGCGGAAGAAGTGAAGTGTGTTGCTGAGTGGCTGGTCTTCGGGGAAGGCAGGCGGTGAGAGCACAGTGCGGCTTCTGTGCCTACGGGCAGCGTGGAGCACCCTGTAGGAAGCCGCTTCGAGCTTCCTTTTGCCTTTTCAGACAGTGTGAACATGTTTTCAGCAGACAGTAAAAGGAGGTGGAAAGACTTGTTAGAAGCAGTGTCCCCAGCATTCTCTTTGTTGAGAACTGTGTGGGTGCTCAGAGTGGGCCCCTGCACCTGCAGCGGCCACCCAGGGGACCTGCCTGATTCCCAGGCTCCAGCCCCACCTCAGCCCGGCAGGTCAGGCTGCAGGGCACCCCCCCCCCCCCGCCGCCCCCCTGGCAGCCTGATGCATGCGAACCAGGCGCGGACCCCCACCGGCGTAAGGGACCTATCCCATGTGAGCCGGTTTTCAATGCCAGAAGCAAAAGGAAGCCAGGAGGTTGTTTTCAAGACAGAAATGAAAACATTAAGACATCTACAGAGAAACCATCCTACTAATTAATTTCTGGCATTTCTCATTCCAGGATTTATCCTTATCCATGATTAAATAATCATGTTAGCTTGTCTGTTCCCATTTTAAACCACCAAAAGGTAAATCTGCCTATTATACCTTCTGACGTTGAGCCAGAGAAGGGGTTGGCTTTCGGAGGGGGTGGTGGACACAGCGCCCTGTGGCCTGTCCTTCACAAACCCCTCCCTCAAACCTGATAGGAGCAGACCAGCAGCTTTGACCCTGAGACCCGCCCTGTGTGTCCCCCACCCTGCACCAATCCCCCCCCGCCCCCCGGGCCACTGCAGGTCCTGGGCAGCTAGCTGCATCTCCCGCAGGTGGGCCTTCAGTTCAGGTGTCCTCTGACGCCTTGGGCCAGAGCTTTGAAAGAATGGCTCTTTAAGACTTCCAGCTGCCTGATGCATTATGGTAATATTGCCAGTGTTGGGATTTATTTCAGTAATTTGACATTGATGATGATTTTTTTTTTGATAGGGGAGAGAGGAAAGCAAGTTCCCCCTCCAAAAAGGGGCTTAGTTTTTGTTTTGTTATTTGAAACACAGATGTGGAGCTCACCATCTGCACAACTAGATGTTAAGGTTGTTTAATATACATGATTTTGCTTTCCATTTTCTTTGCATTTTGTTCGTCCCAAAGTGAGAGACACTGACCTTTGGATTATCTTTGGTATGTGCTTTCTCGCTTAGTGTCATACCGTGGGGTTGAAGGGTTGGGTCCAGACCCCCCCACACTGCGCCAGCAGTCCTCGCGCTTCCTGGTATCTGGACTTGTTAAAAATTACAACCCCAAACAGCTTTTGTTTATGTGGGTAATATCGATTGATGTTTGCTGTGCAAGTTAAAACTAGCACTTTAAAATATGCATTAAATTACTTTAAAACAATATAAACCCATTAGATGTTAACATAACTAAAATATCTTTTATGAAAAATGTTTCTTAGAAAAAATAAGAGGGGGTACTGCCTTCTACTCGCAGAGCTCTGCACCATCTGCCCTGGAAGCCCCCCCAGTGTCGAGAGCAGCTAGAAAAGAGCGTCGTCGTCTGCAGGCCTGAAGGACAGAGACGGGGCTGTAGCGGCGCCAAGCCCCAGGCAGGGTGCTGGCCTGTCACCCTTCGGGGGTTGACTAACAAAAGGGAAAAGCAGAGGGCAGCACCCGGGCCCCGCGCGTGACAGCGTGCGCCCTGCTGGCCGCCTTGCAGGAGGGTCTCAGGAGGCCTCCGGCAGCAGCGGTCGGTTCTGCCCTCCCCTCCCCTCTGCGCGGTTGCCCACCGCCCCTGCTTGCTGCCGCCTTTTCCCTGCTTTATAGCAGTAGATAGGTAAATTTGTGTGATGTAGTTTTGATTCAAATTTTTAATTTACCGTCTTTCTTCCTTAAAGTTGGTCATTTTAGATTGCAATAAGGTAAATAAAAATTTGAAAGAAAAGAACCTAAATAATGGTGATCTCTAAAGGCTCAGCTTTGTGATGCTTGAAGACGGGTACCTTTCCCAGCGGGCTGGCCGGCCATGATGCCCGAGTCTGCACAGTGGAGGAGCCGCAGCCCCCATACCCCCAAATCAGGGTGCACCGAACTGAAACCCCCATTTGCTTCCAGCTCGCAGACTCGCTGGTGCCCATGGAGATGAAGCCTGGCATTTCCTTGGCAACCGTTTCAGCTGTGCTGCACACTAAAGATAACAAGCACGTCCTTCAGGTACCGGGGGCAGAGGGGGGCTGGGCGTGAATCCATGGGGGCCTGTGACGACTAGATCCCCTCTCCCCAAGAAGGTCCGCGTGCCGGCCAGCTCCCCGGACTCTGCCTCCCAAACCCGCAAACACCAGAGGCCAGACTACTTAGTGGGTTAGATGTGAAACAAAGAGGCCACTGCGTGCAAACTCTTCACTGTTTATTTCTCTGGCCACACATGAGAAAAGGGGAGAGAAACCATTACTCAGAGGGAGGGGGCCGCACAGCATCCTCAGGGCTGCTCTGCTCTCGGGGAGGTTCCAACGAGGCCTGTTCCCTCCCTCCCCAGCCGCTGCCCAGGCCCGCCCAGCCCACGGGCGGTAAGAAGAGGAAGCGGGCGAGCGAGGACGTCCCAGACTGCAAGGTCCCGAAGCCCTTGCTGAGCGGCTCCATCCCCGTGGAGCAGTTCGTGCAGACCCTGGAGAAGGTGAGCGCTGTCACAGCCGCCCGGCCGTCCTTTCAGCTCAGTGTGGCCTCCTGCTTCAGGGAACGTGCTGCTGCTTTCTACTTAGTCTCTGCTGTCTGAGCTACTGCCCCTGTAGCATCTGCGTGGTCCAAGGTCATGCGAGGGGACAGTTACAGAGGTGAGAGAAGAGTGTGCCCTCCTTCCCACCAAGTGCCAGGCAGTGCAAAGACGGCCTCGGCCTCGCCCAGCGCCCTTTCTTACAGCGGTGGGCCTGGCGCAGGGCCTGACCTCAGAAACCCAGGCGTGGCCGATGGGGCCGGGCGGGGACACAGAAGGGTCCGCCCCCTCGAGAGCCTCGCTGCCTTACGAGGCCCCTTCCTGTCAGAGGGCCAGTACGGCCACGTCACAGGGATGTGTGTCAGGACTGGGGGGCAGCAATGACAAAGGGCATCAGCGTCGCTGGGCCCCTGGTAGTTCGGGAGGGGAGAGGAGGGACAGTGATCCTCCTCCGTCTCAGCGGCCGTTCCTCATCCTCGGCCCCATGGCTGCTCCTCCCGAGGAATAGAGTTCTTGACTATAATTGTGAGGGAAAAAAATTTTATGTTTTTAAAATTTTGGCTTCAGTCACAGAACTTCAGAGATCACTGTTTTAGCATTAGAATTATAGAATCCTTGATCAAAAGAAGGAATTGGTTAAACATATTATTCATGCTGCTGCTTGCAAGAACTGTAATTAACTCTAATAAAAAGTTCCAGGAAGAGAGATTTTCTCCTTTTAAACTATTAGTGACTGCCTTTGTCCACACTGAGTATCTCCATGGCTTTCTCTCTCTCAGCATTTTTCCCTGGAGGGAGGGCTGGCTGTGGAGCTGCGGCTGAACTGCGTGGCCGTGGCAGGGCCTAGCCGAAGGGCGGTCCTGGGTCGGGGATGCTGCATTTAGCTGTCTAGGAAGGGCCGCTGGTAGAAGCCTCGGCGGCTGAGATGCCCACCTGCCCCTCCGTCAGCCCGGCTTCTCAGAGCCCCCGCCAACCTCCTTCTCTTTTCCTTGGGGACAGCACGGCTTCAGTGACATCAAAGTGGAGGACACAGCCAAGGGCCACATCGTCCTGCTCCAAGAAGCCGAGACACTCATCCAGATTGAGGAAGACTCAACCCATATCATTTGTGACAATGACGAGACACTCAGGGTGCGACTGCGGGACCTTGTCCTCAAATTCCTACAGAAGTTCTAGAAGGAGCCCCTGAGCCCCTTCCACGTCCCGAGGGCCACCGTCCTTCACACTCGGGCTGCCCAGCTCAGACCACTGCAGAAGGCACACAGGCCAGCCGTGCTTTGCCGAAGGCGGAAAGGCGCGTGAGGGGCGTTACCTGCAGGCATGAGTGCCGGCATCCCTGGGCCTGGCACTCCAGCGCTGCTTCAGGCCAGAACTTCTGCTGTGAGCTTTAGACTCACTTCCTGCCCGGGCCTGGCGCTCTCAGGCAGCCGGGCCGGGGAGACAGCGAGCCGAGCAGTACGAGTGACAGAAGCGGTTTTCCAAGGGGTCGGTGGTGGACAGGGAGGTAAGCAGATGACTGGCCTGTTGTCTTCAGCGGCCAGTGTGTGTTTCTCATTGTGTCACAGGCCTCAGGTAGGGGACCCAGTGACTGTGTTTTACTTGCCTGTCTACAGTGCTGCACCTACTAAGACAATTCCCAAAAATTAGTAAAATGAACCCATTTGTCTGTATTTTATATTGTAGGCCCATTTTATTAATAAAACTTATTTTTTATAGAAGGATCTATGTTTTGTTGAGCCTACAGTTTACACTGATAGAGTATCAGGAAAAAAAATATGAAAATACAGAATAGCATAAACTTAGAAAATTCTACGACAAATATTAGTTTGGTCTGTTCAATCATATAACCTGGCTTTTTTTTTTTTTTAATATCAAACTCATATTTTTCCTGAGTGGTACGAAAAGGCGCACACCTTTATCTGAGCTGCGTGCACCATGAAAGCACAGCCTCTCCCTTGCGGGGAGGCCCCAGCAGGGACAGCTGTAAATAGCATCAGATGTAGGGGCGCTTCCTTAACGAAGCTTTTGAGAGGATCAGGTTAGTTTTTTTTAATCTTGAAAATACAAAAACAGTACAAAACTAAAGCTCAAAGGAAATCAAAATGGTTATTTTAGTTAAATGTCCTCATAATGATACATTCTGGAATGACTTGGATTTGTCCAAGTTTGATTTCTGTTAAAGTGCTTGATCAGAGAACACAAGGCATTGATCCCTTGAGAGGAGTTTACTGAAGAGAAAAAGAGCGTTTATATGTAAATTAGTCAATAAACTGAGAGGGAATAATCTAGAAATGATGAAGGTTTTAATCAAGTTATTCCCTCCTACTTAGCAGTAGAAGCCAGAGGGAAGAAGGACAAAGAACCCCGCATTAGAGCAGAGAGGAGATCTAGAGCTGGCCTTGGCGCGAGCAGCTGTTACTCTCCTGGAGCCCAGCTGTCCGGGCGCCACACCAGGCAGCTGGTGGAAGACGCAGGGGAAAGGGCAGGCCTGCCCCCGGTGCTCACACCCCGACGGACATGCCGCCCGCTGGCTGTTGCTGCTGACCTGGTGAAGAGTCTCAAACCCAGAAAAATTTTTATTCAACCCAACAAAACCTCAATTAAATAGTAATTTAAAAAACACTAAAAGTAGTAAAGAGGAACCTGATTTTTCTATTTCTTTCTAAGAAGTGGTATATCTATTGTTATGTAACAAATTACCCAAAATGTAGTGGCTTGAAACAGCAGTCTCCCACCATTCCGGTGTGTAAGGAGTCCGGCGTAGTTTAGCCGGGTGCTGCTGGTCCGGGTCCTCTCTGCTGGGCTACAGTCAAGGTGCTGGATAAGGAAACTGAGATACTGAGGTTAGGTAAGTTTCTCAAAAACACGCAGCCAGTAAGTGGCGTCTGCCTTGACACAGTGTCAGGGAGCAGGAGCCAGAAGGGGAAGACCTGCCTGCTGGTCCATTTCATCTCCAATAAAGGTCACAGCTCCTCCTCCCTGTGGTCCCTGGAGACCCTGGAGCTCTCAGCCCTCTCAGTTGTCCTAAAAGGCAGGAGTTGGTTTTTCTAAACTGTAATGAAGTATCAACAGAAATGAGCGTGAAGAACCCTCCAAAGGTATATAACAACATATTCATATAAGCCGAGTAAACTGGTGGGTAGGACAGGGAGACACTTCTCTGGCCGTGAGCCCAGTCCCCACCCCCAGTCCTAACGGAGAGTTGAGTGCTGTCTCACGCCGCACTGTGGGGAGGCAGGAAACACCAGATGCTACATTCATCACAGCAAAGCTGAGTGTGAATAACACAACTCTTACTTGAACCTAAAATGAGGTAGAAATAATAACCAACTATAATTCTGGAGGAAATCACAACTAAATCCTGGAGAACAGTCACTACAGAACTAAGCCAAAAAGGTCTAGTCTTGGTGGAGGTTGGAGCCAACATTGATCATGAGTTTATCCTCTAAAGATTAAGTACCAACAGTCTCCACTGCTTCTTGGTAGCCCATTGTAGTTTTTAATTATATCATGAAAACATTATTTTACCATCTACAGAATCAGTGTGATCCTTACCTAAATTCCAATGGCATTTTTCCACAGTAAGAGAAAAAGCAACCCTAAAATGTGTATGGGACCACAAAAGACCCTAAATATCCAAAGCAACCTGGAAAAAGAACAAAGCTGAAGGCATCACGCTTCCTGATTTCAAGCTATATCACAAAGCTATAGCAATCAAAACTGTATGGTAGTTTCATAAAAATACACACAGACCAATAGAATCGAATTGAGAGGCCAGAAGTTAACCCACACAGATAGTCAACTAACATTTGCCAAGGGAACCAATAAGACCCAATGAAGAAAGGACGGTGTTTTCAATAAATGGTAGTAGGGAAACTAGATAACCACATGCAGGAGAATGAAACTGGACTACTATCTTACACCACTCTTTAAAATTAACTCAAAACGGATTAAATACTTAAATGTAAGACCCAAAACTACTAGAAGGAAACAAGGGGAATGTACCTTGACATTGGCCTTGACAACAATTTTTTAATGCCACCCAAAGTGCCAGCAGCACAAGCAAAAATCAATGAGGAGGACCACAGCAAACCAAAAAGCTCCTGCACCAGCAAAGTGAAGAGGCAGCCCACCAAAGGGGAGAAAATACACGGTGGAATATCCAGCCACGAAGAGGAATGAAATTCTGATACCTGCCGCAACATAGACAAGCCTTAAAAACAAGCTCAGTAAAATAAGCTGGACATAAAAGACTCACTGTTCTATGAATCTCTTTATATGAGTGTCTAGAATAGACAAATCAGAGACCAAAGAAAGGTTATCAGGGGCCTGGCGGGGTCGGGGGGCGGGCAATGGGAGTTATTGTTTAATGGGTACAGATTTCCATTTGGGAAGATGAAAAACCTCTGGCAGTTTCTAGTGGTGAAAAAGAAGTAGAAAAACTAATTCTGAAACTTACATATAGAAATACAAAGTAACTATAATAGGAAAGTAATTTGAGAAAGATGAGCAAGTTGGAAGACTTACGCCATATTTTTTGACACTAACTAGAAAGCTGTATTGATCCTCACAATAAGGTACTAGCAACAAACCAGCATAACAATGAGCTTGGAAATAACCACTTACTGAGTGTATCTTTTAACAAAGGCCCCAACACAATTCAGTGGAGAACATAAAGTCTTTTTAACAAATGGTGCTGAGTGACTAGAGAATCTTAGAGAAAAAAAGAATTAGAAGCTTATCCACTATCACATACCTTCCACAAATATTAACTGGAGATGGATCCTAGACCTAAGGGTAAAAGCTAACACCATAAATCTTTTAGTGGGAAGTATAAGAGAGTATCTTCCTAACTTGGGGCAAGGCACAGGTTTCTTGAGCCACAGAAAACAAAAAAGGTTATAAATTAAACATTCAAAATTAAAAACATCTGTATCAGAAGATACCATAAAGAAAATGGATAGGCAAGCCACAAATTGGGAAAAGTATTTACAAAAGCTGTATCTAGCAATGACTAGTATCCAGGGTAAAGAATTCCTGTAACCCAACAAACACACAAACGATAACATCCATAAAATGGCATGTTACTCAGCAATAAAAAGAAATGAGCCATCACAAAAAAGATGGAGGAACTTTTAAGTGCATATTGCTAAGTGAAAAGCCAATCTGAAAAGGCTACATACCACATGATTCCAACTCCATGGCGTTCTGGAAAAGGCAAAACCAGAGGGAGCGTTAAAAGGCCAGGGGTTGGAGAGAGGGAAGGATGGCTAGGTGGGGCTTGAAGGATTTTAGGACAGTGAAACTGACCTGTAGGACACCACAGCAGTGGGTACGTGTCATTAGACTTTTCTCAAAACCCACAGAATATGCTACACAAAGGATGAACTGTAAAGTGAGCTCTGACTTCAGTTAATGTCAATATTGGCTTCTCAATTGTAACAAATGTGCCAAACACACATTCAGTAACAATAGGGGAAATGGGAGAGGAGGAACTATTTTCTGCTCAATTTTTTGTAAAACTAAAACTGTTCTGTAAAGTCTGTCGAAATGCATTTTTTTTTTAAAAAAAAGACAAACCAAATTTTTTTAAATGGGCAAAAGATTTGTCCAGATACTCCCTAAAGGAAATATATTATCAAGGACTTCAGCACATCATTAGTCTTCAGGGAAATGCAGATTGAAACTACAAGATACCATTACTCACCCACCAGAATGGCAGAGTTAAGACTGACAACACCAGAGGTTGGCGAGGCTGTGGAACTGAAACTCTTTTAGTTTTCTGTGGGAGTACAAAACGGTCACTCGCGGAAAAGGCCTGGCAGCTTCTCACAAACGTGTGTAAGACTTACAGACTAGTGGTTGCCAGAGGGGAGGGGGGCAACGGGGTGAGTAAAGTGGAGGGATTAAGAAATACAAATTGGCAGTAACAAAATAGCCACAGACATAGAAAGTACAGCACAGGGAATACAGTCAATAATATTGTACTAGCCGTGTGTGGTGGGTGCTCGAAATATCTGGGGGAACACTTCATAAAGTGTACGACTGTCTAGCCACTATGCTGTATACTTGAAACTAATACAAAAATAAGTGTTGAATGCAAACTGTAATTGAAAGATAAAATTTTAAAAAAACATGAAAATACCTGCCTTATCACACAACAATTCCACTCCTAGGTACTTACCTGGAGAAAAAAACATAAACTCACACAAAGACTTGCACATGAATCTTCAGAGCCATTCTTTCTGTAATAGCCAAAAACTGGAAATGGCCCAAGTGCCTCTCAACAGAATGGACTAAAGCTGTTACACCACACGTGGGGATACTGCTCAGCAATGAAAGGGACAAACTGCTAGTGCAACATGGGCTGAATCTCAAAAACGATATTCTGAGTTTCTACAAGCCTCGCTCTGAAAAATAAAAATTGTGTGACGCTATTTATATGAAACCCTAGAATAAGGAAAATGAATCCAAGATTTTTTAAAAAATCAGAATATTGGTTCTAGGAGGGTGGAGGTGGAGACTGACTGGGAAGGAACACGAGGGAACTTTCTGGGCTTGACAGGAATGTTTATTTCTTGATAGAGGTTATTGGGTTGCACAGGTGTATGCATTTGTCAAAACGCAAAAGAATGTACCTAAGAATTGTGCATTTCACTGTGTACATTTAACATGTAAATTTTATATTAAACACATAGAAACTAATACAGACCTCCAGTTAATGATGTATATGCTTGTATTTAGAAGGAAATGCACTGATATAATTTACTTAGAAATATATCAAAAATAGAATGGATGAAAGGATGAATAGAGGGATGGATGTGGAGACACCTATAAAGCAAGCACAGTAAAATGGCTGCTAGGTATACAGGTTCATACTATAAAAACTATTTAAACTTTCCTGTGCATATGAAATGTTTCATAATGAAATACTGGGACGAAGAGTTGAAGTAATATACAATCTAAATCGTTTAAATTCTAACATGACAACCAATACAATATGACCTGGGTTTATAGACAGAGAGAAAGCTAAAAACAATTTGCCTAATAAAAATAGGCCAGCCCTGGCTGGTGTGGCTCAGGGGACTCAGTGCCGGCTCAAGGGTCACCAGGTGGATTCCCAGTCAGGGCACATGTCTGGGTTGCGGGCCAGGTCCCCAGTAGGGGGCGCACGAGAGGCAACCACACATTGGTGTTTCTCTCCCTTTCTCCTTCCCTTTCCCTCTCTCTAAAAATAAATTAAATCTTTTTTAAAAGGCCAAAAAGCAGGTGGGATTAAATAGCAAACCAAACCCAGACGTAGGGTGAGGCTTCCCACCTAAACAGTCTCTTCTGGAATCCATTCTGTGTAATTTTTCTTGGCATTTTCTCTCATCCCCCCTTGTCAATGATTTAAATAATCAAAACAGTGAATGTAAGACTTAGCCCCGCTGTGCCGGGCTCCCTATAACTGCCTGGTTAATGCCACGTCAGCGATACAGCATTGCAGAGACACCACAGCGCCGATCACTGCTCGGCTTGCTGCCCGCCGTGCTTTCTCTGTGACCCGCCCTCTTCAGTGTGTCAAACCATCCCCTCATCAAAAAGCCGCTCAGCACTTAGTATGTGCTCCAGTCCTAAGAGGTTTACAATTCAGTGTGGGAAGCAGAGCTAAACTCCCTCACAGGGCACAGTGAGGGGAAAGCCTGGCCGGGCTGCCCTCATAGAGGGGGCGGGGGCGGGGGCGGGGAGCAGTGGCTGAGAAGGGAAGCCTCCCTGAAGGCAGAGCTTCGGCTCAGTCCTGTGGACAATGAATCGGCATTAAAACAAATGGCATACAGAAAAAAAGACACTAAGAAGTATACGATACATTACCCCAGCAACGTCTCCTTTCTACTGTGTGCCAAACAGTGGACACTCTTCACATTTATGTGAACTTTCAATATGCCTTTAAGATGTGGCATGATTTTTGCCATTTTACAGGTGAGATTAAAGTTTAGAATTGATAACTTGCTCCCCACCACAGTTTAGTGGGCGACCTAGGATTGGAACCCTTGTCCTCCACTCCAGAGTCCATATTCTTAATTGTAACAATATCCTTTTCAACCACATTTTTGTAAATATTTTGCAGCCTTCGATTTCATTGACAATAATGTCAGCCGCTGACGCTGGCCACATGGCTTACCTTGTTAAGTCCAAGGAGGAACTGACAGGAACCTAAGTCGACATGTTACCTCCGTGCAGTTAAAACACCCGGTTCTGCAGCCTCGTGCAACCTCTCAAGTCTCTCTGGTCCAAAGACAGATTGTAACAAGATGGACAGTTGGAAGAATAGGAATTTGACCGTCAAAACTCCAAATCCAAGTAGGCACCCCACCCTCTGTGGCAGTATCCACCCGCCTCACCTGCTGCAAACGCTCCTGATCGACCGTCAACACTACTTGTGGGTAACACTGATTTTTGGGTCCCACGCATTCTTTGGGGCGTCAGTGCAAACCGAACTCCCAACTACAGAGCCCAGGAGAGAAGCACCCCCAACTCAGCTTTTCTCTGGCTCCCCAGCCTCTCTCCTACCTCCGTCGTCTCCCGTGCGGGGACTCAGGGCCCTCTCCGAGGACGGCTCTGATTGCGTGGCCAGGCGGCAGGCCACAGACACACACACAGTGGCTCTGACCGGCCGGAAGCACCACCTAGAGGCAGGCACTTGCAGTGGCTCCTGGTTCGCCACAGAGCAACCTCTGGACTAGACCAACCCCGGCCGTCCTGGGCAAGCCCTCTCCCCGGTGCCCGGGACACGCCCCCACTTTTCAAACTTACCACGAGTAAGGGCGGCATATATGCCACCTGCCATCCCACTCAAACCAGTTAAATGGCACCTAAATTCCTCTCCATGTAATCAAATGACTAACCCCAGAAATGGACACAGGCAAGACTGCGGTGCCCGTGCGTGTTTACAGCATCGCCTGGGCGCGCTGGCTGCTCCGGGCCGTCCCCTGCTGGGCGAGGCCCCAGCCGGCTGAGCGCCGGGGGCTCCCTGCTATCAGGCAGGCGCCTTCTCTCAGGTCGCTCCTCCGCCTCACAGAGGAAAATCACAAAAGACCTCCAGGCTGCCTGAGTTAGTTTACATTTATTTATTTATTTTTTTTTACAAAAATCCAATGTCAGATCATTGTGCTCAGGACTGGAAAAGGAGTGGGCGGGCGGACGTGGCAGGGGTGTCGGACAGCGTCCCCTTCAGGATCCCATCATTCCGAACCGGCGCTCCCCGAGCACGAGCACGCGGCAGGCAGCCCCAGGAGGCTCGGCTGCCCCATCCCCACGGACAGGGCCCCGCCGGCTCGGGGCGCACGCCTGCTGGAGGTGCAGCCGCGACACAGAGAGGGCACTGCCCGAGGCGCAGGAGCTCAGGACCGCCTGCCGAGCCCCTGGGGAGGTGCACGCGTAGGGGGCGGCCCCTCACGGGAGGAGCCCACCGGCTACCTGGAGAGCAAGGACGCCCGCCCGGGGCCCTGGGAGCAAAGGCCGGGTGACCAGGCGTTACGTTCGGACGGCCGAGGAGACCCTGGTGGGTCTTCAGAGCTGTTTTCGTGTTCCACCGAGTCGCAGGTGGTGTAGGCGACATCCGGGTTTCCCAAGGTGACTGAGCAGCACCAAAGGCATTCTGAGCACGGAGCTGGGCCCGTCCCTAAGCTGCCGTGCACACCCTGCAGCCAGGCTCCAGGAGCGCCTAACCACGCGGCCTGAGAGATCCGACCGCCCCGCTTCCTGCTTCTGAGGCGTGTCACGGAACACGGCTGTTCCCGTGACGTGTCACCAGGGCCTGCCGTTCAGGGTCCTTGGTGTCCGTGTCCATTCAGGTCCACACGGTGCTATCCTTGTTTGAAGCTCCAACATCCCAGCCTTCCCTACAGCGCCCACTGGCGTTCTCTCACCTCAGACCACGCAGCTACTCCTGGATCTACGAACCTCACCCCGGTCCGCAACCTGGCGCCGCTACAGCGATCCTGACAGAGACCGCTCCTTTCTCACCAGGTCCCACCGAAGGGCAGTTCATGAGCTCCTCACATGGAAAAAACAAGATAAAAATAGCAGCCACATACATTGCTCAAAACACCACACTCTTTGGCTTCCCAGAGGGAAGAAGGCTACTGCTAAAAAGAATGAAGTCAGAAGTCAAGGACAGGGTGTTAGAAAGTTAGGATGCAGGGAGTCTGGGTCCTTGGCTGGGCTGCTGAGAAGCACAACGCCATTTCCTAGGCAGCCACCTCCGCAGGGGAGCTGCAGGGCGGCTGCGGGGAGGAGCCAGTGTGCTCCCCAGGGGGACCACACGGCCTGCAGCCCGCGTCCCGCTTGCCCACGGAGAGGTCCTTGCGGTCAGGCAAGCCCTGCAGGTGGGTGGTATCTACAGGACAGAGCCTGCCTTCAAAATGACACTTGAACCGCTGGGACAGGGAGATCACAGCAGAATGTGCCCCCAAGAAACAGACAGAAGCACAGGATGCCGGGTCTGGGGAAGACGGAGATGGTTTAAGGCATGTGCATGACCAGGGCAGACCTGAGCTTTTGTCCAGCTGCAGAAAACCAGCCACACTCAACTTCACTGGAAGAAAGTGGGGTCCAGAAAAATGGCGGAAGTCATGGGCTACATCCCTGCCACATGCCACTAACAGCCTCTCCGGTTCTCCTACCACCACCACCACCACCACCACCACCACCACAAGAAAAATTAGCTTATTTCCATTTCAGCCCAGAAAATAGAAATCGAAATCCGAGAGGTAACATGGGGTGAAAATGCCTGTGAAATTGTCAGGCTGGATTTGAGCTGAACATAACAGATCACGTCCTCCGATTGTTCTGGCACATACCAAACCTCAGGGTGTTCTGGAACCAACCAGGCATTAGGGATCCAAAAACTACAGGTAACACACAATGCAGGTCCGGACAAGGGCAGAGGGGAAGGTGAATTTCACCAAGGTATTTACGCCAAGGCAGGTGCCTTGTGTTAAGACTCACCGGCCAGCCGGGTGGGGAGGCGCAAAGGAGGCTCGCTTGCTCTCCGTCCCAGAGAGAAAGCCAACCCGCAAACCACATCAGACCACACCTGGAAGGGCAGCCTGCCGTGTTCCATTCTCCCCCCAAGGGACAACCCTCAGGAGAGCCGGAAGCCAAAGCACGTGTTGAAACGGAGGGCTGGACAAGAGCCGTTTGGGAGAGCTGCCTTTGGGTCTCCTTCCTTCCTCGTTCTGCTTCCAACGAGGAGGAGACCGGGAGAGCAGGGACAAGTCGGGGACAGCGCGACCTAATGGCAACTCTTCAGACGCCACTGATCCAGCCAAGGAAGCTCAACCGTCCCCAAAGACACAGGTCCCCCCAAGGACTCAGGAGAGGAGACGTGAGGTACAGGTGGCTGGGTGGTGGCAGACAGGACGGAGCACACCGACAGGTTTTATCTCGTCCAGGGCCCGAAAGAGGGCCAGCCCAGCCCTTCTTGTTTCTGCACAAAGATGCCCCCTGGGAGGATGGAGATGACACTGAAGGATGAGCCAAGTACCGTAAGGCCAGGCTCCATCTCCGCCAAAGGCAGGGCATCAGGAGCTTTGGTGGGTCCCTCACTTGGTGAGACAGGCAGAAATTTCAAATTCCCCCCAAATATATATATATGTATATGTATGTGAGTGTGTGTGTGTGTATATATACACATATATATACACACATATATAAATAAGCCTTGAATGGCAAATCTGAAACTTTTTAAATAATAATAGTTGTTACTGAATTTAAAAACCAGCTCCCCGGGCTATGAGCCATGTGAGGGCCTTCCCCAAGCCCCCGCGTCCTCAGTGCAGGCTCTCAGTCAGTGCCCTGTGAGGGAACCCAGCGTCGTCCGGCCCAGGTTCCAGGCCCAGTGTGACCACCTTGCAGAGAAAGGCAGGCCCTTCCTTTCCACTCCTCCTGCTGCCTCGCCTAGCAGAGGGTCTGGGCCGCCCACACGGTGGATGCCCCTGAGGCCCTTCAATGACAGGAACCTGAGGAGCCGCCCCTTCCTGTTGCTCCTCCCCGCCCTGAACTGGCCATGCCCCTAGATGAACTTGAAGCACTTGGTCTTGTCGTGGGGCAGGCGGGTCTTGAAGAGCACAGAGTCCACCCTGAACTGAGTGTACAGCAGGGGCATGTAGCCATACACCTTGACAAAAAAGTTGATACACTTGTGCCGCTCGTGAAAGTGGGAATCGTCGTGGGACAGGGCCTGAGGGCATCCTGGGCATCGGAAAGTCCACCGTGAGGTCACCTGGGGACGGGGAAGAAGGAGCACAGAGTGAGATTCACAGGGGCCGATGCTGCAGAAGCCCTGCAGCGGCACCAATGCAGTGCCTGTTTCCACGGTGAGGCCACAGCCCTTCAACGGCCAGATCACGCGCAGAGCCAGTCAGGCCGGTGCCCAGGGCCGTCTGCCTGCCACGGCCGTACCTACTCAGTACTGAAGGTGCTCTTTCCAAACGGCGCACGCTTAACAGACACAAGAAGCCTTAAAACGCTGAGCGTCACCTGTCGGTTAACCCCACCTCTAGTGTTCCTCGTGATGGCACAGCGCCAGGTCGGAGGCAAGTTGTTTGTTTCATCAATATTTTTAATAGCAAAATACTGGAAAACTACCCATCAAAAGGGGACTAGATGAACACTTACAAAATACTACGAACGTATTTTAAAAAATGCTACATTTAAAGACATGGGAAAGTGGTCATATTACAGGTTAGTAGTTATTATGATGAAATTCCAAGCAGTTAGTAAAGTATGGAGAATGTAACGGCTTCACCGCCGACAATGTGGCAGAGGCCAGGCAACACAAAGCCCGCCCTCGGCACAGAGGGCCTGAAAAACAGGGTGAGGTTCCTAAACCATCCCTCTGAATACCTATCTGAGCTTGTAACGAAAAATAAAATCCTCAGAGGCCAAAATAACGAAAGAGCCCAAACCCAGGGGACAGCCAGCCAGGAGCATGGGTCTTCATTAGGCTTGGGAGGCAAAAGCCGTGAAATCAAATGAGGGCGTTTTTAAATCACTGGGACCCAAACAGGGCATGGGACGGAGGCAGCCCCACCAAGAGCAACAGGGAAATGCTTTCTTCTCAGTCTCAGCTCTAAAGGGCAGGACGCAGCGCCTCTGAGAAGTGACAGCCACGAGCTGGCCCTCGCGCATCTGAGGCCAGACTTTATGTTGCCTGTGTGTCCTGAAAAGCCCCAAGATGCTAATTTGGCCTACACAGGTCTCGTGCAGAAGAGACCCCAGGCGCACAGAAGAAGCGAATGCAAATCCTCTCCGGTGTGGATTCAGACCTCAAAGAAGCACCGTAAATAAAATCCCAAAGAATATGGTCTAACAGTCAAAAGTCACAAAAAAGGGAATGAGCCACATGAGGGAGAAATCTGCAGAAACAAGCAATAGAATCAGAGCCCAAAACAGTGCAAACTAGCAGGCTTATCAGAGAGTGATCATAACAATAAATGTGTATAATATTATGATGCCATTTTGAAAGATTTCTCAAAGTTTAATACAAGAAAGCAGGGATTATCAAAAAAGTCCCAGCAGATATGAAAAGGAACCAAATAGAACAACAGAAATGAAAAGTATATTGAATTAAATCAGACAATTGACAGGTATGAAGAAAATGTTACTGATGAAAAAGTATACTAAAATTACTATCCAAAATGGAAAATATTGACAAAAAGCTTTAAAAAATATGAAAACAAGGTTAAGAAACATGGAGAAGTGATGCTGCATGGTTCCATTTTATATAAAATCCAAAACAGGCAATAGTGATCTTAGAACAGAAGAAGACATTGACTTCCTTCCTGTCCGTCTCCAGGCAGAACTCCTTCCTGTCTCAGCCACACCCGCCGCCTCCCAGCATACTCTGGACCCCAGCCTTCCTCAGGAGGAGGAGGTGTGGATGAGCGCCACGGCCTTGGGAGGACGCCTGCTCACCCTCGCCAGAGCGCCTCTGCCTCTGGCGTCCGCTGGGTTGGTGTGTGAGGCTGGGAAATTGAGGTTTAGAAGAGGGAGCAACTGTACCAGTCGGGCCAGGACAGCAGAAGAGAATCTGACACAGCGTCACAGCCGCACACACCTCTCCCTCTCCCACCTGCTGGGCTGGCACGAAGCAGGGCTTTGGAACCCTTCACCTGCTATGCCTGCCTCTGTTCAAGCTCAGCTGCGGGACTTGTTGGGTATTTATCCCTGTCGACTGAGGACGAAGCATTGGCTTGATGGCAGCTCACATGTCCCTCCTCTAACCTCTCCAGTTAGTGGCAATGTGGATAAGGGGACTACAGGGAATAGATCCGTGTGAGGTCCCATGTGTCTGCTGCAGACTCTCTGAGGTCCCATGGTCCCTGCCAGGCCCAGAGCCTTGCTCACAGGCTCCACTGGGGGAGCAGGTGTCACTTGTCCGGCCTCACCCTTGTGTGCAGCCTGGTCCCCGGGTGTGGGCTAGGGAAGCAGAGCCAGCTCCTCATGTTCCAGCCAGCCTTTCTGCCCAGAGGACCCTGGACTTGGTCCGGGGGGGTGGGGGCGGGGGGCGGCAACTGAGTGTTAGGAGCACACGGTTTGCTCACACAGGGCTCTTTGTTGTGTTTTACATTATTCTGCTACATGATCATTCCACTTTAAAAAAAAAAAAAAATGAGCAAAAACTAAGGAACTCCAAACAAAGAATGGACCTTATTAATACAGTGTACCAATAGTGGTTCATTAATTGGGATCAATGTGCCATACTGATATAAGATGTTAATAGAGCCCTGGCTGGTGTGGCTCAGTGGATTGAGCACTGGTTTATGAACCAAAAGGTTGCCTGTTCGATTCCCAGTCAGGGCACATGCCTGTGTTGTGTACCACATCCCCAAGTGGGGACATGTGAGAGGCAACCAATCGATGTTTCTCTCTCCCTCTTTCTCCCTTTCCCTCTCTCTAAAAAAATATATTTTTACAGGTACATATATCTTTAAAATGTATATAAAAATATATATTTTTTAAAAAGATTTTTTATAAAGATATATATCTTTAAAAAAATGTTAATACAGCGGAAAATGCATGGGGGGTATATGGGAATTCTGCACTATCTTAACAACTTTTCTATAAATCTAAATCTATTTTAATACAAAAAGTTTATTTTAAAAGTAAGCCATAGAGTTTAGGGGTGGATACTTAGGTAATAAAAGTATGAAGGAAAACAATGATGTCAATACCACGAAAGAGGCATGATAGGGACTGCTATATCCTAGGACTGCTGTAACAAATTACCACAAACTTAGTGACTTAGAGAAACAAAATGTATCCTCTCTCACAGTTCTGGAGGCTACAAGTTGAAGTCCAGCATCGGTAGGCCCTCCCCGTCTCCGCAGGCCTCGGGAACCGTTCTGTGCCTCTCTCACTTCTGGCACTGCCGGCAGTCCTTGGCTTGTAATATGGTTGCCAATGCAGCAATGTTACAATATCACTGTCTATATACTTTATACTGTGCATTAGATCTCTACATGGTAGATTTACTATTCATTATAAGTTTGTAACCTTAAACATCATCATTCTTACCCACCCCCCAAATCCTTATTCTGAATAAAGCCTATTTACATTTTAGATCCTTCTCCTCCTTCAAAAGACATCATTACATTGCTCAAAGCAACAATATAAAATTAACTCCCTGTCCTTTAGTCACTATTGTTAGGATATTTATATTATTGAAAAACACTGCTAATCACAAAAACCAGTCAATCTTTCTAATTTTAAAAAGGGAGAGAACAGTTTAACAGTGCAATTTTGAAGTATTTAAAGCAAAAAAAAAAAAATGACTATTTTTACAACACAAAATAGTACATATACCTGATACTATTAAAATTAGGTAAGTCGCCCTGACTGGTGTGGTTCAGTTGGTTGGATGTCATCCTGCAAAGCAAAAGGTTGCAGGTTCGGTCCCCCGATAGGGGCCTACCAGAGACAACCAATTAATGTTTCTCTCATACATCGATGTTTCTCTCCCCCTTTCCTTTCCCATCTCTCTAAAAATAGTAAGTAAATAAAATCTTTTTAAGAATTAGCAAGTTAATGAAAATATTTCTTTCAAACTGGTTCTATACTATGAAATACATAATTGGACTCAATTTGAAAACATTCTTAACTTACTAAACCTTTGATTTTAAAAAGGTCACTCTAATCTTGGATCAAACTCCTCTTATATTCCCGTAAGACTGAGAAAATTCACAGAATACTTATTTTTTAAGTTTTCACTTGGTAAGAAGTGTGTATACCATGTGCAAATTACTTCCGTCTCACTCTCTACACTGGAGAAATGGTTTAGCTAATGAAACTTTGGCCTAATAATATAATAGAAAAAACACACTTTAACGAAGATGAAAAATTCTTCCTGTCTGTCAGGGCTTCAAATGGGCACCTAATCACTCAGACCTTAAATTTTCATAGATGTCTCTGATCTACTAGGGAGGTACAAATAGAAGCATTCATCCTGGCTGAAGTCCAGTCCCTGGCTACATAAGAAAGGAAATAAAGAATAGAAAATTTCACCAATCATTAAGTTCTTTCTAAAACTTTGTCTCCCTAACCTTAAAGTTTGCAAAGAAGTATGCTTTTTATTGTTTTCTATCAGATTTACCACTGTACTTGGCAATCATACTCCTTTTATTGACATAATTGTGGCTATTATTCTCAGGGGTTGTTTTTTTTAAACCCACACAACTACAAGCACTGTTTTGCTAATTATTCTTTTGTGAGGCTTTAGCAGAAGGCTCAGGGATAGAGAAAACCGCGGGGTAGTCAGCAGTTAGGTTATATCCCTGAGCCACACGTGGAAAAGTCCTGCTGGGTATAAATGGGTGCGGGAGGCCCCCAGTGCTTCCCATCCCTCTGCCCTCCTCCGTCGCCTGGACTCTGTGTCCTTTGATGACCGCAATGCTTCCCACCAAGGATATGATCTGATTATTGCTATCAGTACAGGATGCCGGTTACTTATTCTAGAACTTACCTTCACAACGTGAAAATAAGATATGCACCCAATTAGTATATACTCATGGCACTAACGATATCCATAAAAGTAACTTATTATTTTATAATATTAAATAATCTGCCTTTTAAACAATAATAAAAATAAGACCTTAATATCTCTCTTTCTCTCTAAAAAGCAATGAAAAAAATGTCCTCTTGTAAGGATTTTTAAAAAAAAAGACCTTGATTAGTTTGTTTCTAAGGACTTCAAGTGTGATTCTATAGCAGAAATACTGACAGAGCACAGCCACAGACACCCCTAATTTGAACTGACACAGAGATTCTCGAGTTCAAATCGTTGCCCCGCCCTCCCCAGGCCCACCCGCCCCGCCCCTGCGGTGACGGAACTGGTCTTTCTGTGCACTGAGTATGAAATCAGCATACTCGGGTCAAATCTATTCAGAACTCAAAGGCAAAAACAAAATTCAAATTTTGAGAATTCTGAGGGCACTTTCCTTTTAGTTTTTAAGTAAACACCTTACGTATAGTTATTTTTTATGTGCCAGGCACTATCTTAGAGCTTTACATAAATTAACTCAGAAAACTGTGGTGCCACAGGCGCCCTCCACGCTGGCCTGGCAGTTGGCCGAAGCCTGCAGGCTCCGCCTCCGAAAGCCTTTAAGTGAACAAAATGACCACATGAGATTACGAAGGACACAAGCTATACTAAGATGCAGTAATGTAAATGCTCCTATGTAAATGCATTAAGTAACAAGATCTAACAATTACTAACTACCAAAATTTCAAAGCGGTGATGAACACCAATGATACTTTGAGATGTGGCAGCAAATGTGGGATGAAAATGTCTCGTGAGTTCTACTGGTGACGCATCACAGTTACTGCAAATGCTCTTATGAATTGTGGTCTATTTCGTAACTGATGAAAATGCTCCATTCCAGTTAAAGATGAGTAAAAATTAAAGATGTAACATTTTCCCCCACCCAGTTTCAAACCCTCCCAGTTCTATCCATTTCACGCCTTACGGGCGTATTCACCACCCACTTAATCTCATCAAGACAGCACCTCCGTCCGCACTTTACAGAGGACCTCGAGGCAGGGTTACACACTGCACTGCTGCAAACTGAGAGGATGCGCGCACCCCAGACCCATCAGGAGCAGGACCCTCACCTTGATGGGGGGTTTCCGAGTGATGTGGGAGACCAGGAAGTTCATGGCGATGTCCTCACAGTTGATGTATTCATCCACCACATCTCGGATGGCCTGGGGCATCACGTAAGAGTACAGGTAGGCGTAATACTGTCAGGGGCAGACAAAGAATCACACTCTCTGTTAGAGGCCGCACTTCCTTTGGCTTTCATCCAAAACATGCATGGATCTGGGGGCTGGTAGGAAGTAGGGGGAGGGAGGTAGCAACCACAGGCATTTAGGGAGCTGGGGCCAGGGATGCTTAACATCCTGCAAGGCAGACCTTCTGCAGTGGATAATGACCCCTTCCAAATTGCCACTGTGACCCCCCGCTTGAGAATCATGATTTCATTTAATCTCCTTGCTACTTAGGTCAGACACTGGTTCCGTTGAACAGCATTCTCCCTCCGACCGTGGCAACGCAGGATGATGGAGGGCGAGAGCCTGGGTGCCTCCTCAGGCTGCTGGGCAAGTCACAGAGCCATGACTATACACCCAATCTCTCCGCGCCTCGCTTGTAGGTTCTAGAACCTGGTCACTCCTCAGCAGTGCCATGGCCTCCGTGCTCCAGGCCACCACCAGCTCTTGCCTGGATCACTCGTGCTGTCTAAACAGTCTCCCTGCTGCCCATTCTCCCCTTTACAGTCCGTCCTCGGCACGGCAGGGTGATCATGTGAAAACACAAGTCCAGCTGAGCACATCACTCCTGTACCTACACCTGGGATTGCCAACCACGTGCCGCAAGAATTTTTAAAACACGCAACACCTATTTAGTCAGAGGCATTGACCTCTTTTTCCCTTAAATTGTCAAATTTAAAAAAAATGGTAACAGCCAACACTGTAACAGCCATCCAGAGCAAATTAATCAAAATCATACCAATTTTTCTGTCAGATTAGCAAAAAACATGTTTTTGGTGCACTGCCGAATTTTAGTAATTAGTTTATGTGTGCCCTGAGATGGAAAAGGTTGATCACTGCTCTAAACCCCTCCATTGCTTCCCATCCCATTCAGAGTAAAAGCCTACATTCTGAATGACCTGCAAGACCCACACCTACTCACGAATGCTGACTGCGAGGTTTTCAGAAATTTTGTGAGACTAGTCAGGAATTTTGTGAGCTTGTTATGAAAAATAGCCATTATTAGAAATATAATTACACAAAGTTAAAAAAGTTATATTTATAAACAATAAAAACCTAAAGCTCATCACTTAATTAATTTGTTATATTTTATTATTATTCATTAAATGTGACTGTTGTCTTGATGTTATTTATGTCTTTCATGTCCATATGGCGAAAATACCACACAATGATGAGCAAATGCCCATCTCTTCCCAAATCCATGTTCAGGGACTCATGTCCGCAACCCGAAATCAGCCGTGGTGCGAGTGTTTAAACCACAGAAATGGGAAAATGCTATAAAACAGGGCACATGGCACCTGTGATGTGTTGTAATATGGTGATGAATGAATAGGTGAGGTGCACAAGAAAACTGATTTGTGTATTTTATTACCTTAAATATAGAATCTATGTAGTAAAAAAACTGATCATAAAATTTCTGTAGCACACAGTGGTTTGCTGGTTTGGTGACAAAGTTCTTAAGAGATGGTGAACTCAAAAGAAAACAAATGTTTAGAAGTATTTTCACTATTATGTGATTTTGATGCCAAAAATAATTTATGAAAGTCTATAAAAACTTTCATATCTACACATTTTAAAAACATAGAAGGAACTTCTGTAACCTGTTTAAAAATCTCCTAAATGAAAACTTGCAATGAAGTTACAGCCTACTCTAAAATTGTAACACCTTGTCATTATTTTGCTAAAAAACTGAATGGCATCATAGAAGATGGAAATTCTAGTCTATTTCAGCAAAATGCTACAAATCGGTGAGTGAGTATCATGACTTAGTAAGGCCAGCAATAAAGTATTTCTTCCAAGGACAGTGATTTAAACCAAATATCAAAAATATATTTAATTTGGAAAGAGACCTCTTACCACACCACAATGTCAAATCAAGATTTTCAAAAATAATAAGGCATATTCAATCACCTTGCTTTCACTAAAATTTAAGAATTTAGTGAGGATACTTTGAAATTTTATTTCATCTTTATCTCAACTTATAAAATTTCTATAAGTATGATAGTACACACATAGAAATATTGATATAATTCATAAATAAAAATACATTTTGTGAAGTATAGGTTCAAAATTTTTATTGATAGGCACTTACAATCAAAAAATGATTGCTCCACTAGAGGGTATTAATGTAAGTGAAATAAGTCAGAGAAAGACAAGCACCATATGATTTCATTTAAATGTGGAATCTAAAAAAACAAACAAAGCAGAAACAGACTCATACATACAGAGAACAAATGGATGGTTGCCAGATTGGGGCTGGGGGAGCAGGGGGTAGGTGGCTGGGGGCTGGGACAATAAGGTGAAGGGATTAAGAAATACTACTTGGCGGTTCCAAAATCGTTGTGGAGATATAAAGCACAGCATTGGGATTATAGTCAGTAACACTGTAATACTATGTATGGTGTCAGGCGGGTACTGGATTTATGGCAGTGAGCACTTTCGAAGTTGCATAAATTTCTAACCACTGTTATATACTTGAAACTACTATAATATTGAATGTCGATTGTAATTGGAAAAGAATTGTTCCAGATTAGGGAATAACCAACTTAATTGCTTTTAAAGATCAAACAAGTAAGGCAAATAAATGACATTTTAAAGAAGGCAGTGTAAGAAAAATAAAGAGCCGTGGGGCAAAGAAGCACATGCGTGCCACGCACAGGGAGCAGCGGCAGCTCAGCTCCCACCACTTGGCGCCAGGCAGAAACGCTGCCTCAGTATGACCCCACCTTCCTTTCCATTAGGGTGCAGGTCTTTGTGTCAACTCCTCTAATTTTTAAAACCTGGAGTTTATGAGACAGCCTGGGGTCGGGGTGGGGCGGGGGCTAAATAAGTATTTCTGTAAGCCACAGAAGTCATTAGTTTGTAACCTCTGCACTCCAGATTTTCAAACAGGAAAAAAAACCTAAGTTTTATTAAGTTTATTTATTACTTAAATGTAAAGAGATCTGACTATTACAAATTTTTGTTAAAAGATTGCATTTATTTATTTTTAGAGAGAGGGAAAGGAAATGAGAAAGAGAGGGAGAAAAACATTGATGTGCGAGAGCAACATCAACCGGTGCCTCTAGAACGCTCCCCATCAGGGTCCTGGCCTGCAGCCCAGGCATGTGCCCTGACTGGGAATCAAACCAGCGACCTTTTGGTCCACAGGACAATGCCCGACCCACTGAGCCACACCAGGCAGGGCTGACTACTGTAACTTTTAAAGAGCAATCAGAGAATCTGAGAAGGCAAACTTTTCAGAAGACAAATTCTCAAGGTATGAGCAGGCACTGCTAACATCAGTGGCTTTCTTAGATGACCAGTTTGAAAATAAGTGACTCCCAAGTAGGTACCATTTTTCAACTAGATGCTCTTTAACCCTGCTCGCCATCTGCAGCCCAACCAAAGCCCTTCCACACTTGGAAAATAAGAACAAGGGCACGGTTTAGGAATAGGATGAGTGTATCAGCTTCACATTACATTTTAAAAAGGAAAAAAAAAAAAAAAAGAGCTGAAAGTTGAATGACTTCTTAGGCTGGTTCCAAATGTCCCTAGTGAGATAACTCTCAAGGTTCTAGTTGAGATGACTTGCAAGATACCATCAACTGAGATATGAAATATATGAGGGACATGAGATTTGGAAGGAAATGAAGGGGGGGTGAAAGGTGATGTTTTTGGGGGGAAATTTCAGTTGGAAGTACCAGAGGGATATACAGGGGATGCCATGAAAACAAATATACGAGTACAGATCTCAAGAAAGGGCCAAGGCTGGAACACAGATGCAGAAGTCATCTGCTCATGGGTGCCAAGAAAAGCCACAAGACCTTGAGAGGATGAAAGACCGTCTAAGGCAAACACAAAATAAGAAGGGCACTAGATGAAGCTAGAACCCCGAGCTACTTCAACGTTGATGGGGAAGGCAGGGAAGAGCGTGGGTCTCCTATAAGGGCAATGAAGTCACCCAGAATGACAGACAGCATGGAGTAGAGATTAGGATGACAACATCCTTGATGGCCATAAAGGAATGATTACAAGAGTGGCAGGTGGCAGCACAAGACAGATGCCGGGGGCCTCAAATAAGACTTCATATGACAGCTGAGAATTGTCTACAAGTGTCATTGGTAAGCAGCGAAAATACTTCTCTACACTTTCCCTGCTCCAAAGTACAAATCTGGGGACATGAGTAGCCTCAATCCTTGTTCATGGAAGAAACACAGGAACTGGCAAAAGCGGGGGGCACTGTCCTCAGAGAAGAGTCAGGTTCCAACCAGGTCAAGGAGACAGAGCAGGCATTCTGTGGGGGTGCTGGCAATTCCGTTCTCTCAGAACAGGGATTCTTCAGGGCCTAGGGGAAGGGTCTGGGAGCAAAAGCACCAAGCAGCACTGTCCAGTAGAAATATAATGTGAGTCACATATGTCATTTTAAACTTTCCTGTGGCCACATTTTTAAAAGCAAAAAGAAACAGTAAAATAAATAACTGCATTTTAGCATACACTATAAAAAGTTATTGAGGTAGTTTGCCTTCTTTCTTTCATGCTAAGTTTTTAAAATATGGTGTGTACTCTATACTTCCAGCACATCCCAATACTGAGCAGTCACATTTCAAGTGCTCAATAGCCACACGTGGCCAGTGGCTTCTTTATAGAATAGACAAGAAATAGAAGAGAGGAGCAAAAAAAATAAAAATAAAATAAACATAAAAAGAACAGAACAGTTTAGTGATAGCAGCACAGGAGAGGAGTAACAACTGGAGGGGTTCGCATTTTGAATATTCACTGAAAACCGGGCTGTGAGGCATGGCGAAAGTTGAAAGTTCTAAGGAACCAAACAGCATACAAACCCACACTAGACCGAGGCCTGTGTAGGCTTGGCGGGGGGTAGTTAGCCTGAGTCCAGGGAGTGCCTGGCTCAGCCCTCTGTTGACCAGGCCACATCTGGAATGGCAATGTTGACACTGGTGGTTTGGCACAACGCTCTCAATTTTTACACAGGGAGAGGGAAGGCCCAAAAAGACAAACTTATCTTCCTAATGGCCTACATGCAATTGTACAAGCAGCTTTCTCATCCTGACTTTTTATTCCAGAATTGCTCTAAGCATCTTTATCACTGTGTTTAAAAACAGAAATAACTTAACTGTAGAATAGAAGGGACATGTAAGAAGCACTGGGAAAGCTGTCATTAGGGAAGCATTTCACTACCACATAAAGGCTCAACTCTTACCCAGTTCATACCATTCTTGCCAAACTTTTCCCTACCTTGTGAAAGAAGGCAGCGCCTGTCAGCACCATGGACAGCTCACAGGAGTAGTTGGAGTTGTAGAGCCAGGACTGATGAGGGATGTCCCACGCATGGTACCGGCCAGGAAAGCCCACAATGCGGTCCCGGGCTTCTCTCCACACCCTCAAAAAAACACAAGTATATGTATGCACTTAAGTACAAAGCTCTAAGATTATCACAAACACTTGAAATTACTGCCTATATTTTGCAGGCTCTGGTTCTTAGGCTGTTACTTCTTGTTTTTCTTTTTAAATAACAAAATCAGTCCCAAGCCAAAAAGCATAAAAACAAATAAAGCGTGTCACATGTAGCCTCCTTATTAAGCACCTGAGTATCATTATTGCTCCTCTAATTCCCAGCAGCCAGTATCCCTCCAGCCTGGAATAACATGGGAACAAAGTCAGGGGTCTCCAGAGTGGGGTATGTACAGCAATCTGCTAAGAAGCAAGAAGAAGATACCACTTTCTACTTCTATTTATTTTAATCTTCTTTAATTTCTAAAAGAAAGTTTGTTTGCAACGAGCATGCCGTGTTGGCACACTAGGCCTTGCATAGAGCCGGCGCATACAGCACATGCAACCCTTCCTTTCCTGAGCGGGCACACGGTGGAGCAGCCTGGAGACCGCAGGTGCACGCGCAGGAGACGCTGCCCAGAACTGGGCCCGCTGTCTGCGTCCCCGATCAGGGCACAGCTGAGGAAGAGGCCTGCGCCATACACAGACATGGTCTGCAGGGCCATGTAAGCGACGAGTTTCATAAATGCAAGAAATAAACTGAAAATTCAGTGCTCCCAGGATAAACTTTCATTTCATCCGCAAATTTATAGGTAAAACAGAACAAACAGAATCAGTCCCCCAGTTTCCCAGGGTAAACCCATAAAGCTGAAAGCGCTTCTCCACAGAGCCCACAGCCCTTCGGCGTTTCGGGGGCCCCGCCTGGCTCACCCCCAAGCAGGGGTTTAAACGACCTGAGAAACTCCCTCATTGCTTACGTGGAAATTCAATTTCTAAAACACAGAGATTTCATTTCAAAAAGAATTCTCCCCTATTAAGTTTGAAAGCAACTAACGTAGTCCATTAGATGAGAAACCACGTTATCACAAGACCGTAACAGTCTCCTAGAAGGGCTTTCTGCCACCTCCTACCCACATTCCTACCTCTATCCTAGTTTATCTCATAAAGCAGACTCCTCCTCACTAACATAAAAGCCATGTTTTTGTGATATAATTTGATATATCCAGGATTTAAGGACTGCTAATGAGTACCACTGGCATAACCAAATGTTAGATCAATACTCCTAAAAATTCTGATCTCTTCCAATGCCTATTGCTGTTACTAGTCCTGAAATATCATAAGAAAGAACGGGAAACTGGATATTTCAGTCATCTGATTTGGCTGATTTCAGTCAATAATGTAGATAGCTCTTAATAAAGCAAAACCTCATTTGCTACACAGTATCAAAAGGTAACGTACTTCATTTGTTTAAGGCTGTCAACCATGAGATAACTGACCAGGTGTTGATTTTCTATTAAATAATAAAGAAAAATCAATTTGAAACACTAATACAAAATAAGCTCAACTTAAAGGCTTAAGTAAATTCCTTGAACAATGCATCGAAAGTTTTAGATAGTATGGTCTCAATGGATATTTGAAAGTCAGGCATTTAAAAATAGTGATTATATATAATGCTACCAATTTACACTTGAAAGTGTTACACATAATCAGTTCCTTATCATTATATTCAAACTCATGCTGCACTAAATATTTTTAATCTATATGCTATGCCACAGACCATGCTTTGGCATACCTTCCCTTTAATGAATTATTCTTTCAATGTGTTAGAAGAATAACACTATCTACACAGTATGTTAGGAAAAGAGTTTCAAAGGTAACTTCATAGTTCAAACTGAAAAACAAAGAAAATTCCCTGGATATACACAATTACACCAAACAAGAGAAATTTTTAAATAAATGAAATTAAAATTTCACTGAAGAATCTAAATCCCGACTAATAACCTCCTGTTAACATTTTAAATTTAAATACTACCATCTTCAAAATAAGTGCATCAATTCAACCTTTTCACGGGATGAACTTTGGAACATTATTTACCATAGCATTTCTATATTAGTATAGTCAGTTAAGCAAATGTACATATGTATATTGACAGCCAGAATTCTAAATATTTTTGTGCAAGTCTGTGTGATTCAAAACAATTTTTTAATGAGTTACCTGAATGAAGCAAAGGTCAGGTTACTATTAATGTTTAATTTAAAACTAATTTTCTGGTTTTCAAATAGGCAAAATGGTTGGGAATAAAGATCACCAAAATTTAAGATTATTATAGGACATTAAAGTAATATGGACTTTATCATACAAAGGGACATTCTTACCTTGTTGGTTATACTTCCATGTTTTTCCCTCTGGCCCATTAAGAACCAAATAATTTGAAACACAGTAAGAAAATAAAGTGTAAAATCAACTAATAATCAAAGAATGTATTAAAAAATGTAAGGTGAGATTTTTTTACTTCCCAACCATCTAAAATAAGAGTTTTTTTTCCAAATGCTATGTCTCTTATATTATGATAATATGTCTTTTCCTCCTACCTAAAATATTTCAAAAACCTATATGAAACCATGATAAAGAAAAAAATGTTTTTATTAACTCCCTTTGGAAAATAAAACTTATAAAGCAGAGCCATAAAGTGGAAAGAAAAAGATCAATGTCAGATCCAGTTATGGAACTCAAAAATTCTGGGCTCAAGACAGCAGATACTTGGATCCAAAAAGAGAAAGCACCTTGTAGTCCACAATCCCATACCATCTCTTAAGCTTACAGTCTTTTTTAAAAATAAAATTTGTTGAGCTATAAATCACATAACATTCACTCATTTAAAAATGTACAGCTCACTGAATTTTAGTATATTCACAGAGCTGTGCAGCCAACACTGTTATCTAACTTTAGACTATTTTCATTACTCCAAAAAGGAACTCCATAACCATTAGCAGTCACTCCCCATTACCCCAGTTCACGGCAACCACTAATTTATTTTGTCTCCATGGATTTGCCTATTAAGATCATTTCATATAAATGGAATCACACAATAAGTGGCCTTTCATGTCTGACTTCTTTCACTTAGCCCATTTTCAAGGCTCACCCATGTGATAGCATGGTTCAGTACTTCATTCCTTTTTACTGCTAAATAATATTCTATTATACAGATATATTACATTTCAGTTATCCATTCATCAGTTGATGAGTATTTGTATTGTTAATGCTTTTTGTTTTGTTGACAACTGACTTTTCTTGTGTGGCAAATACATGTAACATAAAACTTACCATTTTAACCATTTAAGCACACAGTCCAGCGCCACCAAGTCCATCCACCTTGCTGCACGCCTGTCACCACCCATCCAGCTCTAGAACTTTTCATCTTCCCAAACGGAAACTCTGTCCCCATTGAACACTGACCCCCTATTACTGTCTTCCCCCAGCCCCTGGCTCCCACTGTTCTACCTTCTGTCTCTGACTCTGACTCCTCTAGGTGCCTCGTGTAAGTAAAATTATATAATATTCCTTCTTTTGCATTGTTTATATTTGTTGGTTTTTATAAATAATGCTGCTATGAACATGCATGTACTGCTTTTTGTATGGACTCTGTGTTTCCAATTCTCTTGTGCCTGTTTGTTTCATCTGTTCCCTGAGAACATGTTTGCCTCTTTGCTTGAGTTGAAGCCAGTCAAGATCCCTCCGACCTTTTGCCAGAGGGAGGAATTCTTGTTATACCTGCCCTTTCCTTTTGAACCTAGGTCTGTTCCATCCCCATTCAGGTGAAATAAGGAAATTGGGGAGAGGAATAAGAGAGATTTTAGAGCAAAGGATGCCAGAACAAATGAGAAGAGTCAGGGTAATGAAAGGTTCGAATGTACAGCCAGAGACAATCTGCCAGTTCCATCGCCGGAGGCTAAACCTCAGATTTCCAACGCTCCTTAAGAAAGACAATGAAAGGATTTCTGTTCTGCTCCCTCCACTTGGAAATCCGTTAACAAATGGAAAAGGTCAAAGGTCTTCCTAGGTCAAGAGGCACAGACTATAGCCGATGCTGCCAGCTATCTTAATAAGCTGCAAGCTCATCAAAGCAAGGACCTATCTTAATCGTTGTAGGGATCTAGGGGCAAATGGTAATTTTGCTGCTAACATCCCCAACACTGTTCACAGCTCCCAGTCCTTTAGCCCGTTCTAAACTGAATCAGGCTCGATCACAAATACACCGCCTCCCCCTCCCTCGAACCACCAGCAACAACGACAACAACGACAACTCTGCCGGCAAAGGCCGTGTCTGGAATCATCACATGGCTTTCCTCCTCTCATAAAAACAGACAAAGAGCTGGCTGTATCTTATCATGGCATAAAGGAACACACTCCAGTTCAGTGAGGTTTTTATCTCAGCTGACAACAGACTCTTGCCTCAATATATAGGAGAAGGTCAAAGGAATTGTGAGAGTTGGGTGGGGGAAAGAACAGATATTCTAATTTTTTAGAAACGTGCCAGATCTATGTTTATAGACAGACTGAGGCAAATACCAGCATAGAGCTGCTGCCCCTTTCATCTGAGCGTCCGTGCCTATCAACTTAACCCGAAGGAAGCCTGAAAGCTAGGTGGGTCGTGTTCTCAGTGCCCGGACACAGGCACCAAGAAGAGTTCCCCACCCCAGACCCACGCGTAATTGGAACAAGATCTCCAAGGAAATCTAGTCTGGTGCTTCTCAAACTATCTGTGGTGAAGAAGTAATTTTCCCCAATTTATTGTGGACTGACACTTTTATAAAATGCAATAAAAATGAATTGCATTCTTAAAGATGACACCAAAACACAACCAAGGAAAACAGATAAACTGAACTTGATAAAAATAAAAAAAATAAACCTTTTGTGCCATCAAGAAGGTGAGAAGACAACCCACAGAATGGTAGAAAATATCTGCAAATCTCACCTCAGATAAGAGACCTATATCTAGAATATATAAAGAACTCTTACAACTCAGTAATAAAAAGACAAATAACAGGCAAAGGCCCTCAAGAGACATTTTCCCAAAGATATACAAATGGTCACTAAGCACATGAAAAATGCTCAACATCATTAACACTAAGGAAATTCAAATCAAAACTATACTGAAATGCCACTTCATACCTAGTAGGATGGCTATAAATAAAAAACAAAACAAGTGTGGAAAGGAACATGAAGAAACTGAAACCCTTATACACTACTGAAGGCAACATAAAATGGTACAGCTACTTTGGAAAACAGTCCAGCAGTTCCTCAAAGTGCTAAGGAATTAACATGAGATCCAGCAATTCCATTCCTAAGTGTATGTCCAAGGGAAAGAAAATGTTCACGCAAAAAGCTGTACATAGACGTCAGAGCAGCATTATTCACAACAGCCAAGAGGTGGAAATGACCCAAAAGTGCATCGATGGATAAATGAGTAAACTGTGTACATCCATACACAATGAAAGTAGTACTGACATACTGTAAGAGGAATGAAGTTTGAAAACACTGTGTTAAGTGAAAGAAACCAGTAACAAAAGTGCTCATATTTTATGTCACCATTTACATGAAATGTCCACAGCAGAGGGGTCACAGGAAAATGCTAATGGGTGCAGGGTTTCTTTTGGTGGTAATGAAGATTTCTAAAATAAATTGTGGTGTTGGTTGCACAACTTTGTAAATATACTTAAAACCACTGAATGGTATATTTAAATGAGTGAATTATATGATGTGTGAATTAATGGTTTATGAATGTTATGTAATAAATGTTACCCAAAAGTGAATTGCAAGATAAAGGATCACTTGGATGTCACAATAACTGTATAATCATTTTAAAAGTTTTTAGGGGGCAAGGGAAAGCGGTGGGGGGTAGGCAGAGACAAATGTATTTAAAAAAATAAATTAAAAAAAAATAATAAAAAATAAAAGAAAAAAAATTTATGGAATACAAAAAAAAAAAAAGTTTTTAAATGCTTACCCTCACAGTGGACAGGCAACAAACTGTCCACGGGCCAGCATACCGGTGCATGACACACTCTGAGTACCCTGATCTGCTCCCTTCTCTTACTTGTAACGGTCCCTCATGTGGGATAGTTAAGCCTAAAAAAGAACTACTAGATTTAAAATAATGGATATAGTTTAGTGGTTGAGTGGAAGTTTTGAAGTAGACAAGCCTGTGTTAGAATCCCAGCTCTGCCACTTACTTTCTAGTTTCAAGGTTTTGTTCTCCTGGATCTCACTTAACTCCTAAGTAAAAGGGAGAGGCCGACAACTTACAGCACCATTTTAGGAGGATGAATGACACATGCCAAAATGCTCAGCTGGTCTCTGGCAGAAAGTACCAGTTCAACAAACATCAGTCATCCTAACCACCTCTTCCTCCCCTTCTTTTCCCTCCTGGGTCTTTGCGTCCAACCCCATCGTTCCTCCAACCCCCAAGCCCCAGGCTCCGGCACCTGCCAGCTGCCCCAGTACACAGCATCAGGCTGCTTCTGCCTGCCTGGGAGTTAATCCCCGTCCTGGAAAACACAAAACCGTCACGTTTCCTTTAGGAAACTACCCTCTGCCTCCAGTCTCAGCCCATGTAGTTCTCGGTTAGAGGATGATCTGTGCCAGGGCAGGCAGGTAACCCTGGTCCAGCCAATCACAGAATTCCACCTCCCTGGCCTCAGAGCAAGAGCCTGCATGAAAGCAAAGGCAACACAGAGGAAACGGAACCTCAAGATGAAGAGAAATGGAGTTCTCCAACATCAGCTAAGACCCTGGATCCAGTCTGCCTGAAGTTAGCCCTCCCTACCTCTAAGGATTTCTCAGGCAGTTACTATCAGCCAAGAAGTTAATTTGGCTGCCTGATTCAGGTTTGACTTGGTTCTCTGTCACTTGCAAATGAAAGTGTTTCTTGGTTCAAAATCAGCTCCTCACCGAAACCCAAACATGATTTCATCATGGCGGAGGTGAGCATCATCATCAATAGACAGGATGGCCTCTGTCTCAATTTCATTCCAGGGCAAGAATCGATTATTCAAACTGTTCTTCTCAGTACGGACCACCTGTGAAAAGGAAAAACACTCACGATCAATGCTGCATTATAAAACACAAAACTAAAACTATCTTTAGGTCAAAGAAGACTGTGGCAAAATTTAAGGAGTAATTTTGCCTGGTTACCTACCACTTGTAAAATCTAGCACATGACTTTCAGGAATAAAAACTGCCTTATAATTCAGCAGGTTAATGAGGATTTCACATTTTAAGTCTTATTCATTTGCTAACTAATTTTCTTGTGAAACAAGCTGAAGCTGAGGACTATTTTACATAAGCAATAAACACAGTCTAGGGAAATTAAAAATACCTTTCCCAGAGAGCACAAGGTGGCAGAGCCAAATTGAAATTGTGATCCCCTGCTCTGGAATCCCCCAGTTTACTCACAAATTTTAAAACCAAATTCAGAAATCTCTTAAGTTTATGTCATTTCTGACCAACCTAAGGCCATTTTTTTTTTTTTTTGGTGTTTAAAACAAAAAGAATTGCCTATCCTATTGAGAAATTGCACCTTTGCAATTTCTGCCTATTGCACTGACTATACATAAGAGCTTTTTCTTTCAAGGTGTACCCAAATTCAGTAACACTGACAGTTTCTGTGTCCACAGCAAATGCCAATTCAAAAAAATCTCTGTCCAAAGTGACCTGTATATGCAAAGCAGTATTTTCTTCATAAAACAAAGATTAATGCTTAAACAGAACTAGATTATAATTTTTTAAAATTGTATTTAAGCCACATCTCAAATAGTTTACTACATAGTTTACTACAATGTACATAGTAGCTTTGTTATTCACCTTGATCCCTAATATTCAAATAAGGATGACCATTCTTGGTACTATGATAGTTCATTTTATTTGTATGATACCTATATCTAATTAATCTAACTGATGAGACACTATCATATTATTCTTAAAAACCAGAAACAAAGAGAACTTCTTGAGGAGTGGTCTTTCTGGAAATCCAGGATGGCCCATCTTACTCTCAACAGAATTTTGTACTTGTGCTGAGGATAACCTCTGCCCAGCATTATGAATGTGATTATATTTGAGGTCAAAAGTTTATGAAAGATTTCAAAGGTACTTCCATGACTTCATGAGTATTGTTTCTTCAACTTAAAATATTCTTTCTCCTATTTTTCTACCAAAATTATTCTCTCCCTGGAGACCCAGCTCAGAGGCTTCCTGCCACTAACCCCTTTGTTAAAATTAATCACTTCTATGTTCTTAAAACAGAGTCCTACTTCAATTCATTCAATCAACTCATTCTAGCACACACAGAATCCAATGGGTCGAGAGGTAGAAGGACCTCGGAGATCATCTGGCCCCCGCCCTCACTTTACACTTTACAGAAGGGACAACTAGAAAGTGGCAAAGCTAGGCTTAATTCCTGTCTTCTAACTCCAAAGCAGTCTTTTTTCTGCTAATCTTATATTTATTCTTGTTTAACCAGATCCCCATGGCAAATGCATGATTAATTTGTGTAACATCAAGAAAAAAAAATACTGCTAAATAAGAAAACTCATGAAATAGTTTATCACTTAGAATGTTTACTTTATTGAAGAGCTTTTAAAGACTTTGCCTCAGCCTCAGAGGAGTTCCTCCCAAACCAAGACAAGGAAGGATCTGTAAAAGATTTGCTATTGCACAGAGCACACATCAGAGCTAAGCAGACACAAAAATCCGTCTTGCCCTCAGCCCATCTGACGAGTTTAAGAATCCCTGAGCTTGCAGCCCCAATCTCCCAGGCTCAGGTGCAGCTCAGTGACAGAGGGCGCTGAGGCCTGGATCAGGGAAAAGAGGAGGGGCAGACAGCTAAGCACTCACCACAACAGCTACCAGGCTCCATTCCCCAGGGAGGGCAGCCAGAGGTAGGAGAAGCCAAAAGCCAACCATAACAATGGTAAAAGGCCATCTATCTTAAGACGTACGTGATTTCAGAACGTTAAAATGCAACTTAACGTCCATCTTAGAATCAAAACTCCCCTGGGATCATCCATTTTACTTTACCCATATGCCTAGCATGCACTTAATACAGAGCTGCAATTTTGTAGGTTCAGGTGAGCAAAGCCCCGCCTCGACTCTAGCAGTGAAAACACACACAGCTTAAAATCCAGTAGTGCATACACATAGCTTAAGTCGAAGGAAAAAAAATAACTAAAAATTTCAATTCTTGACTATTCCACTATAGGCTACCAGTTTTGTGGATTAATTTCCAGGAGGATTAGCTACAGAAAAATGAGTAACCCAGGAACAGAGCACAGAGCTTCAGGACTCCAAGTGATTCACAGTCCAGCAGCGTGGGCTTCCCCTGGGACTCGAAATGCACAGCTGCAGGCCCATCTCCAAAACTGCCAAGTCAGAACCCCCAGTTTAACAAGGTCCCCAGGTGATTCCTATGCACGTAAAATTCTGAGAGACATTGGTACCGAGGATTTTGGCTTTGGAGTCAATCAGAAAAGCCTGAGTTCACATCCCAATCCCACCACTTGCTAGGTGTGTGCAGGTTTGAGTACACAAGCTCTTGCTAAATCAACACAACACCATGTCCTATGCACAAACCAAAGCTGTTTATCAACCAAACTTGACAATCCTATAAACCACCTAATTCTTAATCTAAAAACAAGAAACAACAACAAAAACCTACAATGATCATGATGTGATACCTAGAGTGTATCCAAAAACTCTTGGCAAATTTACAATGAAAATCAAATCGAGAGGACCTACTTGTCCTTTGAAGAAGCAGACAGACCAAAAGGTCAAATACCAAACGCGTTTTGGCCTAGATTTCATACGCAGTTTATTGAGCAAGCTTATTAAAGTCCATTAAGAACAACTGCTATGAGTTCCAGGAATAAATAGAGTGTGCATACTACTTCTGCTTATCCTGGAACAACTCATCTGGGCTGGTTGACAGAAAGATTTTCAGGATTAGGGAAGTGAAGCAATAGCCATCAAAATAAAACAAAACAAAACAAAAAAAAAAACACAACTTTAAGGATTCACAGAAACACAACGTCCAGCACTGCAGCCGCTTGCTTGTGGTTAGCTCACAAATAACTTTAGGGCAGTGTTTCTCAACTAGAAGTGATCTTTGCCCCCCAGGAGACATGTAACAATATCCATGGACATTTTTGGTTATCACAGCTGTGTCGGAGTGAAGTGAGCTACTTACATTTAGTCAGCAGAGGCCACAGACGCTGCTAAATCCTACAAAGCACAGGACAGTCCCCGCAACAAAGAATTATCCAGCCCAAAATGTCACTGGTACCACTGCTGAGACCCTAATTTATAGTCAACCATCAGGAGACAGTAAAGCAAACTTCCAAGAATACATGCAGCACACTAGTTAGGGACAGTCACCCTTCCCCCTTAACCAAAAAGATTTCTACAAACTCTACAAATACAAACTAAAATTAAGGTGAAGGGGGGAAAGCTCTCTTTTAACAGTTTTACTTCAATGCTATACTGTTTAAAGGCTAGAAAAAGCTCAGCAAACCACCAATTACCCATTCTGGCACCAAAATTATAAAGGATTAAAGATGCAAACATTTGTAATGCAAACATGCAAATCAACATTGGCAGCTAAGTGTTTGAGAACTGGCAGATCAGAAGGTTAAAGAATGAGTCAACCAGAGTAGCGTGTCATGTTTAGGAATACTCTCATTTTGGTTGATGTTGTTGTGTTTCTAACTAAAACATGGTCCTTCTTTCCTTAACAATAGCTGTTTTTTCATGCCTTTTAATTACACCTTAGTAGCTTGTGAACATGAAGACTTATCTTCAAGTTATTGCTAGAACTACTAGTATGATATTGACCAGAACGTATAGAGCACAGTGCCTGGCATACAAATGTTCGATAAATGTTTCATAAGTGAATGAATAAATGCACAGGAAGCAGTATCTAATTCAGCCCTGCTCATTTTACTTTCAGAATATGGAATAAAGAAAAGCTTATATATAAAAATTGTAAGTATTCAATATACTGACACCTCGTAGAATTTAATCTGGTTTTCTATAGAAAAAAAAAAAATCCATCAACCTACAACACTCAGGAGCACCGCTCCCTCACCATTTTTCTGGTTTCACATACAGTGCTCCCCAATGACGCCTCACTAGTTCTTCTGCTTAACCCTCATTCACGAAAGCCTTGACTTTCTCATTACACCTTTTTTCTCGTCACCATGGACTGGTACAGCAGTCATGGCCAAGAGTCCCACCACATGCAAAAGCATTCAAGTGTATCGATGATCAAAACATCATTAGTAACTTTAGTTAACATTCAGTTAGGTTCTTGAGGAATTCTGGAGTTTATAAATAATAAAAGAACTACTCTTATTGGGTCCTTTCTCCTAGTCTGCTAACATGGCATTTAGCTTCTAAATCCAAGCATAATCAACAAATTCCATTAATTAGCAAAGTATCAATTCACATCATAAATTATCTACCATGAAAAATTTGATTCCCAATTAATTAACAAATATCTCTTAATATCTCAGGGATGGAAATATAACTAGTTATTGCTATTAACAAGGAACAAAGGAACATTTCGGCAATTTAGTAAGTGACAGTTGCTCAAGTGAAACAGAGTAGTGAATCTGGATTCAAATGGAGGAACTACCCAAATAAGGGGATCTTTTATGAAAGCAGCTCCTGATCAGTAATAAACAAATCTAGGCAGGCCAGAAAAGTAGGACGTGAAGAGATTAAGTGAATTAACCCTAGACAAAAAGTAAACCAAAGACAGAAAACACAAAAATATGGAACATACCTGTGAGGTAGTAAGATTAGGAAATATATGTGGAAAATATAAAACCATACAAACGCAAATGCCACCTACTAAATTCAGCAATTTAAATACACTTAATAAAGCCCTTTTTCTCTTTATGTGTAAATTTTGCCCAACCAAACACAACAGTCTCCAGTCTCCAACAATACATACATGTGCATAATGGTAATGAATCCCCTTCTGAGAACGAAATTTATGCCAAGCCATCACATGGGAACAAAGGTG